ACTTCAAAAAACTACGAACACGCATTGCCGAAGCAATTTATCCATGCAGAGGGCGGCCCAACCCATTCTTGGTGTGTGCTATGCAATCTCAATTTAATGTTGACCCCGCCTTCTATGCACTAGAAAGGTCCATGAGGACCTTCCTTGGGATTTGGCATAAGGACCGGGAACAAGGGCAGCATATGTGGAAATGCATGCTTGCGGCAAACGGATCCCACCGATCTTATGGACCTTGTGCCACAATTCGAAGGAGGCTGGAAAAAATTGGTTGGCATCTAGGCCAGGAAGGAACCCTCCACACTAACCTTGGCATTTCAATTGACGTGGAGCACTGCAGTTTCATCGACGTGAGACCGCATTTACGCAAAGCATGGAACATTGTGCTGCACGAGGAGGTCCGTGGGAAAAAACAATACTGGGACTGCCCATGTCCTGATGTTGTTGCACAGCAAAAACTCTGGAAAAAAACTCCGCATCCGGTCAGGAAGTCTATTTCGCCTGTAGTTGCCACAGGTGTGCAAACTGAAATTGTTAAGGCCAAGTACCTTGAACAAAATGACAAGTGTAAGAGGTGTGGTTTGGTTGACACACTTGAGCACCACTTGTGGACCTGTAGAAACTACAATCTTGACGAAGCTAGGCTGAAAACTGTCATGCAGGGGTTTGAAATCTGTGGTATCCACCGTTGCCACCCTGTTATGCCCTTTAATGAGATTGAAATTCAGCTTGATCAAATCAACCGAAGTAAGCCCTTGCCTGCTTTCACTAGAATTGAAAATGGTGAAGACGAGTTTAGGGTATACACCGACGGCAGCTGCACTGTGAGGGCGACACATGCCGAAAACTTTGCAGGATATGCAGTCATTGCTGACTGCATCCAGACCGATGTCGCGCGTGATATCATCATCAAGCAGTATTTGCTTGACTTGCAAACCCCTGCTGTCTTCAGGTGCCTTGTCACTTCAAATGTTGCAGGAGATCAAACTATAAATAGAGCAGAGCTGTGTGCTTTAATACATGCATTCATTGCCGTCAAAAACAAAACCATCTATTCTGATAGTGCATACGCACTAACTATTTTTGGTGCTGTACTTGAGTGCCCAGAACCAGCCCGGTTCTGGAAAGCAAAAAACTTTGACCTAATAGTACACGCCTGCAAAGCTGTCAAGCATTTGACAGAAGGAAGATGCAGTTTGCATAAAGTAAAGTCTCACCAAAATGTCCGGGAGTGCCAAACGCTCAACGAAAAATGGATTGCTCTAGGCAATGATGCTGCCGACAAGGCAGCTCAGCAGGCACGAATTCACCTGAATACAGATATCCAAGGACTTGCGAACAGGCTGCATTGCCACCTTACTCGATGCACTGACGTGCTTTCCGGGGCCTACGAGGTGATGAGCACTATCGCATCTCAATGTGCAACTGAGCAAGATGAAATAAATACCCCACCACTTGGTGAACAAAATGTTCATGAACTTGCTAACTTTCCAAAAGAAAATTGGCATAACTTTGAGATACCACCTCAAAGAATGTGAGGAAGAAGCCTTTTGGGGGGTAACATTCATGAAGCGACTTCATGCCTGGGTTTCTCTACTCAGATGGGATGCGCAAGACCAGTCTAATGACGACCCAGGAGTATCTTGGATTGAACTTTTCATCAGCTTCCAGCTTTGTACCAATTCGGACATGCCTGCAAATGTAGGCACTAATAACAACCCTAGATTTGCATTGCCCGAGCAGAGTCCTGCTGCAATGCTTATTCAGCTGAATACACACCGTAGGATGCAATATTTCGATAGTAGCCTCAAAGCGCTTAGCAAAATCTTGAGAAGAGATATCTTTCCTTGTAAACCTTGCAAAAAGCCTGCCAGCTTGCGCCAGTTGGGGTACTTTCAAAGCCGACCAGGGCTGCCACGTAGACCGTGGTTCCCCTACCACGAAGAGATAGTTCACTTGCTTAGGCAAAGGGCAGATAGCCCTGCAACCGTAGGGTCCATCCCTGAAATTGTTTCACGTCCTCATGTTGTTGAGATACCATGGCATGAGGATGATCTTCTCGAGTCACAGGCTACTCGGAGGAGGGTTCACAAAGACCGCATTAAGTGCGGCGCGCACGGGTGACAAGGACTGAGGCTGCCTTCACACGCGGGAGGTAGTCTCGAAAGGAACGCGGTGCATTTGAACATCACCTTTTTTTTGCCCATTTAAGGTGAGCTTCGCTTAAAGCTGATGTTTTGAGGGGAAAAATAGGGAGCCCTGTGCACCGTGGGTATGGCTCATCAGGAAAGCCGGGATCCGCCATCCGCCTTTCTTCAGGTGGCAGGATGTTTTTTTCACACGAGAGACGGTTCACGAGCCATGACCCACCTTTCAATGCATAAATGGTTTACAAAGCCGTTCAAAGTGACCCCCCCAATTCATACTGACATGTTTCTGTGACCTTAGATTCGTCAATAGCAGCTTGCATACGGCAAGAAGAGTCTTCCATGCGCCATGAAGCTGGATGTTCGCTTGCCCAGTGGAGATGGCTGCTGCATAGAAGTGTCACCGTCGCGGTCCATCAGCGAGCTGAAGGCTGCGGCGCAGCAGCATTTCAAGCGCCGCTTGAAGCTCATTGCGATAGGCCGGCAGCTCGATTCGACAGCCACGCTGTCAGAGGCCGGGTTTCGAGATGGGGATGTGGTGGCTGCTGTTGTGCAGCTTGGACAACTGGCTGCCACGTTTTGGGCATTTGCGTTGCATAGACATGAGAATGAGGTTGTGACCTGGGGTGAACCAGACCATGGTGGAGACAGCAGCCAGGTGAAGAAGCAGCTGAGAAACGTTCAGCGCATCCAAGCAACCAACCGCGCTTTTGCTGCGATGCTTGAATCTGGGGCTGTTGTGTCCTGCGGTCATCCAAGATTTGGCGGAGACAGCAGCCAGGTGCAAGAGCAGCTGAGGAACGTCCAGCACATCCAAGCAACTAACAGAGCTTTTGCTGCCATTCTTGAATCTGGGGCTGTCGTGACCTGGGGTGATCCACGCTGTGGCGGAGACAGCAGCGAGGTGCAAGATCAGCTGAGGAACGTCCAGCACATCCACGCACTGACGCTGCTTTTGCTGCCATTCTTGAATCTGGGGATGTTGTGACTTGGGGCAATCCAGAATATGGCGGTGACAGCAGCCAGGTGCAAGGTCAGCTGAGGAACGTCCAGAGCATCCAAGCAACTGAACGTGCTTTTGCGGCGATTCTTGAATCTGGGACGGGGGTCATCCAGAGGCTGGCGGAGACAGTAGCCAGGTGCAAGAGCAGCTGAGGAATGTCCAGCAAATCAAAGCAGCTGGCGGTGGCGCGTTTGCAGCCATTCTTGAATCTGGGGCTGTTGTGACTTGGGGTCATCCAGAATTCGGCGGAGACAGCAGCGAGGTGCAAGAGCAGCTGAGGAACGTCCAGCACATCCAAGCAACTGACGCTGCTTTTGCTGCCATTCTTGAATCTGGGTTTGTTGTGACCTGGGGTGATCCAGAATTTGGCGGAGACAGAAGGCAGGTGGCTAGAGCGGCTGAGGAATGTCCAGCACATCCAAGCAATTCCAAGCAACTGCACGTGCCATTCTTGAATCTGGGGCTGTTGTGACCTGGGGAAATCCAGGATTTGGCGGAGACAGCAGCCAGGTGCAAGACCAGCTGAGGAATGTCCATTGCGTCCAAGCAACTGTGTGTGGTGCTTTTGCGGCTATTCTTGAATCTGGGGCTGTTGTGACTTGGGGTCATCCAGAATTCGGCGGAGACAGCAGCGAGGTGCAAGAGCAGCTGAGGAACGTCCAGCACATCCAAGCAACTGACGCTGCTTTTGCTGCCATTCTTGAATCTGGGGCTGTCGTGACCTGGGGTCATCCAGACTTCGGCGGAGGCAGCAGCCAGGTGCAAGAGCGGCTGAACTTGAACCTGGTGCTGTTGTAACGTTGGCGCAAGTTCGGAGCTGAAAAGTGTGCCAAAAGTGCCCCAGAGTGTTTTGTCCAAACTGTTTCGTAGCACCAAGCAAAAAAGGTAAAACCAAGCAACACCAAGCAAAAAGGAGCCAATCAAAAAGGGGTTGCGGTATGTGTAGGGTTTGAGGTAACACCAAGCAGAAAAAAATGGCATGTGAGAAGCACACCCCTTTTTCGTGCGTTTGCGGAATCCCTCCCCATTAGTTGCGTTGCTTGGAACGGCAGAAGGCGGAACGTGTGAACCAAAGAAACGACCAAACAAAGAAACGCTCAATTAGGCTTAATTTGGTACAACTACTTTTGCCAGCCCCAACATGATCTTAACTTCTTGGGGGGGGAGTGTTGGGGGGAGTGTTGCACTTGGTGAAACAAACAAACAAACAAAGAAACAAACAAACAAACAAACAACAAACAGACAGACAAATCGTCAGTCCGGGAACGCTTCGACTAGATGTGCCATTCTCAACCATTAAAGGTCGACTCCAAACAGCAATTTGCGCACACCAGCTCGCTTTAATTGGGCCACAAATTGCCAGCAACCGGAGACAATGTGAAGGACAGAGCATTGCCCCGCATAAACGGGGTGCAAAGAACGAGAAACCAAATGGGTAAACAATTGTCACGAAAGCTAGCGTCAGCAAGATTTTGAACTCCTACTTGCTGTGCGAGAGTTCCGGATAGATGCACCGCTGTGTAATTACATCAGCTTTGTGATTGCAATCAGAAGGCCCTTCCTTTTGAAAGCGCAGTCCCTTTGCCCGGGCTGGCGTGCATGCGTTGACCCGCAACACTCCCCACCTTTTGTTTTACCCACGCGCACATGCTTTTCATAGGTTAGGTGGTTGCACGATGCTTCTTTGCGCAGCCCTCAAACTGCCGTCCTGGCACCGCTCGCTTCTTTGCGCCCGCTTGCTTCTTCGCGGCCCGGCGGCCTCTGCTGGCCCCGGGCACCGCTGGTTTCATGCACGCGCACTTGCATAGGCATTTGCCCGCGCGTGCTTCTTTGCGCGGCCCCCTTGAGCTGGCATGGATGCGGGGGGCGAAAGCTGTCATGGAGTACCATGGCCGCACGTAGGTTTCATGGAAAACAACCAAGCGCGCGCCAGCGCCAGGTATGCGTCCAAGTCACCAAGCGCAAGTGTGGACAAGCAGGGAGAGCGAGGAGACACAAGCCGCAAGAAGGCTCAAGTCAGCAAGCGCAAGCAAGGACTCTCACTACCTACAAATATATAGCCCTCACAGGGTAATAACGGGTCTTTAGCGCCATTTCAAGGGCTCAAGCAAAATTCTTAGGCACTAACTATCCAGCTGAGTCCGTGGAAAGAGCTTGGGAACCCGTCCGGACCTGCAAGCCAAACCTGAACCCTGCTTGGAAACTTATTTTAGGGAACCGTTGTTCTGGTTGGCTTGAAAGGAAAGCGAAAGGGTATCAATGATATCCCTCATTTTGAGAAGTTTATGTAAGGGCGACTACCGTGCACCCCAACACACGAAGCAACTTTTAGCAGCGGGTGAGGAAACGGACAGCCCAGCAAACCATGGAGATCCCGTTTTGGAGACCGGGTGTTGGGTGGTAGGGATGTGATTGTAGCATGAGAAACACTGTGTTTTACGCAGGGCTCCTTAAAAGATACATTTTGCAACCATTCGAAACATGTTGCTTTTTCAACACCAAAATCAAGTTGGGGGTTTCCACCATTTACACGTCGCAATGGTGTGTTTCATGTCAGGATCCCTGTTATGTGGTTTTAACATGAATGCCACAGAAAACACCCGTGGTTTTACCCACCTCCCAGGGAGCACTCCTTCAGTTCTTTTCTTTCTTTCTTTTTTTTTCGCTGGGAGGCCGCCACGCCCTCCCGCCAGCCTCCGGTGCTGCCTCGAGAGGCGACTTTTTTTTCGATCCCGAGAGTCCGATGAGGGGCCATCGCCGTGGGGCTTCTGGCGTTTTCTTCTTTCTGCAACTTTGCCAGGCTGTGGCTCACAAATCAAGACCTGGAGTCTCCATGACCCTTTAAAAATGGGTCCATGACCCCATTATTTTGGGTAATGACCCCATTTTTAAAGGGTCACGGAGACTCCAGGGAGCTAGGGTTACGCGGTTTTAGTCTTTGGTTCCATAAACCCAAGGTGCCTTGGTACATTTATTTGAGCCACAGGCAGCCAGGTAGGCCAGGGCAAGCTGGTAAAACCAAACCGTGGCACAAAAAAAACATGAGAAGCAAGAAGTTTGCTCAGGTCCGCAGTTTTGCTAAAATAGGTTGAAGACCCTTTTTTGGTTGGGAAGGATCCCCTACTAAAATAGACTACATAAAAAAGGGTACTCTTATTCCAACCTCTCTACTGGAGTTTTTGGGGTAAATACCTCCTTCCCTTTTTTTAAGTAGAGGATCGACATCATACCAACTAAGGAAAACCGTATTTGGAGTAGGATGTACTTGCTGGTGCGATGGGGAACGGCCTTCCGAGTCTCCGGGCGTTGGGAAAATGAACGCTGGGGATTCCCCGCTAAGTGCACCATAGGAAACGGACGGTCATTCCCTGAACCTGGATAAATCAACCCCTGTTTACTAGGGGGTGTCCCTGCATTTGGTGGGGAATCATCGCCGCTCCATGTCATCTGCCCCAACGCCGCTCGGGACGGGTTGGCCGCAAAAGCATATTGCTGCGCAGGGCAAGTGTGTTGACTTTGGAGGGCTAAACTCCGACTGGGGTGCTACGGAGACCCTAAACCCCCAAAACCGTGAAACTCTAAACATAAATCCTAATTCAGTGTTTTAGGGTGTTTTGGGGCCACACCCAGGCCCTAAGAACCCTCAAACCACCTGGAAAGCCGTATGGCCGTCTTTTTTTGGACGGAACCCGTATTTGGATCATTTTTCCCGTATGGTCAGTTTTTGCTGGCCGGTGGCCGTATTTGGCCGTATGCAACCCGTATTTTTTCAACAAATTGTTGACAAAAAGCCGTAAATCACCGTATGGTCATTTTTTTGTGGCCCAAGCCGTATGGACAGAAAAAAACGTCACATATGGGTTTCCAGGCAGCTCTTAAACTCAAACCCTGAACCACACCCCAAAGCGAAACCCTGAGCCCGACAGGTTCTGTAAGCCTGAGCGCATGTATTGGGGTAATTTATAGGATAGGTTTATTAAATTCCGGTGTCACCCCCGTTTGGGTTCTTTGAGGGAATGTTTGTTTCGCGGGCTGGAAATAAGGCGGTTGCCTTTTTTTGTATATTCTCCTATAAACATGAGGGAACTCGGTTTAGCACCCCACAACGACATTCTATTTGGGCTCTTAGAGCGCCTCGCGCGAGCCATCAAAGTACCTCATTGCCCACAAGGCAGGACTCTCTACGTTCCCCTTCCCTTGACTCCAAATACCCAGCTTTTTTTGGCGGGTATCATGTCGACCTTCTACTAAACCAGGAGGTATTCACCTTGAAAAACCGGCTTCTTCCCACACTAAAAAACGTGGGTATTTGGAGCAGGGGGTTGTTCAAGCCAGCTCAACACTGTTCATTGTTTGGGAAGGCCTCCACCCAGCTAAAGCACCTTTCACTTTAGATGATTTGCATGTGTTTTTTTTCTGAACGGGGGTTCTCTTGGTGGGGTGGTATATTCAGGGGGAAAAAACGGCAGATGGAGAAACCCGATATGGTTTTTTTTCTTGCGTCGGTCCGGTTACCAGTATAAAGTAGGCAACCAATGAAAACCATCATGTCAAACTTAGAGGAAAGAAACCCTGGTTGCCTACTACTATAGTGGTAGTTGGAAGCACTGGGAAAGATTCCCTGTGAAACAGGGGGAAACAAGACACATCCAGTTCAACCGATAGGATCCCAAGAGTAGAAATTAGAGGTCCACAGGCGTCCCTTTTAGGTTAGTAAAAAAAAACACCAGCATAGACCCCAGATAGCACACCACGGCTACGAACCATGATGCAGCCTCATATAATGGTTCCCGCAGCATCATGATGATGTTGACAGCATCATGATGATGTTGAGAGCATGATGATGTGCGCTAAATAGCCGCGCAGACAGCGTCCATTAATGAGTTCAGCATAATGATGATGTTGACAGCATCATGCTGATGCACCAGCAACGAACAATTCCGCGCCACATGTCTAGCAGAAAAAAGGCAGAGACGACGTCCTGATTCGACAGCATCCTGATGATGCGAGCGTAATGGAATTCAGCATCATCCTGATGTTGACAGCAATCGTGGCGCCACCACACCCACGAACCATAACGCAGCATCGCAGTATCGCAGTGACAGCAGCATCATGACGCGGGTGACAACATCATGATGACACACCAGCCACGAACCACGCACCATCACAAACAACAGTTAGAGCAGCAGCAACGTCCGAACCGGTTCAACCGCATCATGAAACAGCACCCGCCCTGGCACCCTGCCGTCCATATGCGCCCGCACCGTCACCAACACCTCAAGACAGCAGCCCCAAAAGCACCCCAACGCAGCACCCGCGCCAGCACTGGACATGTCCCCGAGCACCTTGCCGTCACGTACTGTCACCAGCCCGAACAGCACCTCAAAACTGCACCTGCGCCAGTACCCCAAAGTGCATGCCCCCTAGCTCCCAACCGTCGATCTTGCAAAACAATTCCCCTTCTTCATTAGAAGTTAGAACCCCTATGGTTTTCAGATATCTTGGAAATAAGCGCCCGCGCGGTCAGCAGCACCTCAAACAGCAACCCAAAACAGCAGTTGCACGACCACCCCAAACTGCATGCCCCCTAGCACCCGCCGGCAATCTCGGAAAATTGCGCCCACAACAGCAAGCAGCACCCCAAACAGTACCCCGAAACAGCACCTGCATCAGCACATGCGCTGCACCAGCACCACAAACTGCCCAATAGCACCCGCTGTCCATCAGCGCTTTAAACAGCACAGGCACCAAACAGCACCTCAACCAGGAACCAGACATGCATGCCCCTCGAGCACTCGGCCGTCAATCTCGCAAAGCGGAGCACCCCAAACTCAAACTGCACTCGCCTAGCACCCGGCCGTCAATCTCGCACTCCACCAGTGCCCCAAACTACACCTGGAACCCGGCCGTCAATCTCGCAAAACAGCACCTCCACCAACACCCAAAACTGCATGCCCCCTAGCACCCGGCCATCACTCTCGCAAAACAGCACCTCCACCAGCACCCCAAACTGCATGCCCCCTAGCACCTGGCCATCACTCTCGCAAAACAGCACCTCCACCAACACCCCAAACTGCATGCCCCCTAGCACCCGGCCATCACTCTCGCAAAACAGCACCTCCACCAACACCCCAAACTGCATGCCCCCTAGCACCCGGCCAGCACTCTCGCAAAACAGCACCTCCACCAACACCCTAAACTGCATGCCCCCTAGCACCCGGCCATCACTCTCGCAAAACAGCACCCCCACCAACACCCCAAACTGCATGCCCCCTAGCACCCGGCCATCACTCTCGCAAAACAGCACCTCCACCAGCACCCCAAACTGCATGCCCCCTAGCACCCGGCCATCACTCTCGCAAACAGCACCTCCACCAGCACCCCAAACTGCATGCCCCCTAGCACCCGGCCCTCAATCTCGCAAATCACTTTTCCTTCTTCATTAGAAGTTAGAACCCCTATAGCTTTCAGCTATCTGGGGAAAAAACCATGGCTGGTTCCTTCCATTTACCAGGGCCATCTATTTTTCCAAATGGCCACCTATGTAGAGGTCCCTTCTCAAACCCCATTTCTGGAACTTGGGGTTCAAGGGAAGAAAGCAAACGCTTTCCGTTCAGAAGGACCGGAGTCGGACAACGGGGCGGGGGATGCAGAAAAACCGAGGTCTCAATGTTCCTAGAGCCCTAAGGACCCTTATCTTGGTGGTTCCCAGCCATCCCCTTATGTAGGTTTTTAGGTTTTACACTAAAAGTTGAACATTTAGCAGGGATTTGAGGACAGACCAGTTAAAAGATGAGTAGTGATTTACCCAACGCAAGAGGTGACCCCATTTTGCATCATGGAACCTCACTTGGTTCCAACTTGACTTTATTTATTTGGCAACGGATCTTTGGACTTTAACTTTTGGCCCCCCGCTTCTTTTGTCCCTTCGGCTTGCCACAAAAACCTGCCCCAGACCTACCCTGTGCCAGGGTTAGGCGAATGCCAGGCAACCAAAAAAACATCTCAGCCTTGTTCTGGCTTGCCGACGAAGCCTCAGGGCTTTCGGGGTGGTACCTTCGCGTGGCGGATCCAGGAGGCCGGAGAACGCCGGGAAAACACCCACTGGCGCCACGCGGGTGTCTGTGTTTTTGTAGCTGAGAGTGGTCCATAGCGGGAGTCCATGTTTTAAGGGAAGCCTACAGTGGTAATTCCCGGAAGCCGGGGGAAGAGCTACTATCATCTAGAAATCGGCGAATGGTTAGTTTCATGCAACGGCGTTTCCCGGGGGTGGGGAGGGGGGGCTCCTGCGGATTTGGCTAGAACATGGAATCGCTGACCTCCTTGGCTGGCTAATCGTTTTTGCTTACAGGTGCCCGGGATCCCATACCCTTGACCGAAAAAATGGCCATACGGGCAAATACAGCCAAATACGGGAGTTTGACCGGAAAAAATACAAATACAAAGGTGTCTTCATTTGAACCCATTAGCACATCTCAAAGTGTTGGACCCCCCAAATTGTGGTGTTCTTTTGGTTTCCCTTTAAAGCTGCGAAACGTGCCAACTCCAAAAAAGGTGCCGCAGACAGCCCGATCCATATGTGCCAAGATCAAAAGACCCCTTTGCTTGGGGCTCAACAAGACGTACGTTGCTGAGGTGTTTGGTGTTTTTATTCTTGTTTTTTTTGCTTTATCTATGTTTTTTTTGTTGCTTTGGTTTTGCTTTGGTTTTGTTGTTTTGTGTGTTGCTTTTGCTGATGTTTTGGTTTTGTCATTTGTTTTTTTGTGTTTGAACACGGAAGTGAACTTGGCTCAAACTACAGTGTCTTTTTGTATGGAAAACCAGAGAGGTCAACTTTGGCAAATTCCTGTTGGGTTCCCATGTTCTTCCATTAGCAGAGTATCTGAGGACCAGCCCAGTAAAGTGAGTTTAATTACCGGGGGAGGTTGCAGGGAGAACTATGGGAGCTTTTTTCGAGGGTACCCTTTTTGGGGTTGGCTTAACACCAGAGGAAAGCCCACCCTTTTGGGGGTCCAAGAAAAATGTGAGGCCTGGTCAAAAGCACCAAGTTCCTCGAGGACAGGTTTCCTGGTTAGTGTGGTTCAAATTTCGTAGCCCCCTGCTCGTCCCTGCTGGATAAACCATAGACTACTGGTAGATTGTTGACCGAACTAAACGTAAACCATGTAACCTTTCTAAGCAGGCCACGCAGAACAATTGCATTTGTGGGTCATGACAATGCTCCTTTCAAACCAGAAGAAGTACAACAACGGGTGCAAATCGAAGCCAAGTGTTCTCCAATGAACCTCAGCTGTTCAGTGGCACCGATTATTTTTCCAACTTTTCTTTTGGTGGCTGCCCCAGTAAAAATGGAAGCCCCAACATACCTCTTACACCCAATACCCACCTTTTTTAGGGTATCATGTCGACCCTCTACAAAAAAAAAGAGGTATTTACCTTGAAAAACCAGGTTTTCCCAAAAATACCATAAACAAGTGGGTATTTGGAGCAGGGGGTAGGGTCCCATTCTTTTTTTGTCCCAGGGTCACTGAAGAACTCCACTGAACAGGTCTAAGTAGGTTAGGCCACTCGCTAGCCATTTCAAGCCACGAAGGCCCCTAGCTACCAGCGGGGGTAGCTTCAGATTGATCCAGAGAACCGTGCTTCTCAGGGGTGGTTCTGCATGTGACAAGGGAATGACAACTGTTTAAGTGGGGTTCTCTGACCAGAGCCTCCTTTTGTTTTTTTTCGAAGTCAATATTGGCTGCCACCCATAAAACAGGGATTTCACCAACCATAATTGTGGGTTGCAACATTCCATGCTTAAGTTGGAATTTTGTTCGGGTCCAGGTGAATCCTTTTTTTTTTTGGAATTCACACTGGACCCTTTTGTGCACCTGTGCCCCCCCCCTCCCCCCGCCCCCGCACTTGAAATGGGCAACGGGCGTTTTTTGTTTGTTTGTTTGTTTTTTCCCCGCCCGGCGTGACGTGAGGCATCGCTGGCGGCTTTGCAGGTCGCGGCCTTTGGCAATGCAGACATTGGGGTGCGTAACCAACTTTGGTTCCCGGACATGGATGTTAATGCAAGCAAGGTTGCCGATGGTTCCTATCATGGTTCCTGAGTTCCTGAACAAGTTCTGCACGGTTCCTGAACCCTTAGAGTTTGGTTCCTGTTCACCAACTTGTATGGTTCAGTTAAGACACACCCATCGGATTTCTTGTTGGAAACCACGGCTTCCCATACAGCATATACCTGGACCCGGACAAAATTCCAACTTCATGGGTGTTTGCAACCCACGATTATGGTTGGTGGACTTCCCCCTTTTTATGGGTAGTTTGGGGGTCCAGGTTGTCAGTGTTTTTTCTTCTTTATACATAGATATATATATATAGCGGGTTAGTGGCACAATGCCCTGAAAAAGGCTGAAGGTTGTGGGGGTAGGTGTCCTTTCGACTTGGCACTCACCACGAGCCCCCGGATCAGCCAAAGAGCGAAGGGGCGAAGTAGAAAGATTCGCCTTAGCCCGAATTGGTGGTTATTGTTTGTTAAGGGGTACCTTTCCCATCTGGTTTCAGGTTGTCGAATCCCACCGGGCTCCAAACCACAAAAAAAGAAAAAAGCGAGGAACCTGAAACATGGTTATCCCGTACAAGCGGCTCCCCACTGCCTTGTCCAATTCGTAAGAAAAACGGTCCCAAGGGTTGGGTTAAGCCAATATTGTGCAATTAAACAATTTGGGGGGGGGTCCTCTTTTTGGATGGTTTTAAGGGGGAAACCAACCATAACCAAGCACTGGCAGGGGTCCACTTGTTTTTTCCTTGGGACCGAAATGGTTTTGTTCTACCACATGTCCTAAACCTTTGCCCACCCCAGTTGAGTCACAATCAACACCAGGTACGAAAGAGGTCTGCCCGAAGGCATGTAACGAAAAACTAGGTGGATTTCCGAACCTATATTTGGCTGACTCTGTCGGTTTTGTCTGGCTTTGCATACGCTCGGACACTCAGCTACACGATGGTTGCATATTGTATTGAGGGAAACTTCAATTTGTAACAAGGGTGAGGTTTGCCGTAGATGGTTGTCATCGTTGCTTACATGGCACGCCCTGATTTCACCATGACCGTCTGTGCTACGCTCAAAGAGCAACCCTTTACTTGGGGTTAATTCGGGCTGGTTTGTGCCATGCAAATGGTGTTGTCTTCGTTTTTTTCCCGACTCCCCCCCCCCATGTGGAACATTGAGATCTTCTCCTCCCCTAAAAGTTGGAAGACCCCGTACTCCAAATACCCGGCCTTTTTTCAAGGATATTTTTTGAATCACCGGTTTCGGTTTTCCACAGTAAAGGCCGATCACTTTTTTAGTAGAGGGTCCACATGATACCAACTAAAAAAGGTGGGTATTTGGAGTAGGGGGTGTATCCAAGGGCTTGCCACCCTTTCAAACACGCAAAGGGAAGTAGCGAAGGGTTAGTTACTATATCTAGGTTTTCCAGTAGTGCCCTTTCTCGTAGGTGTACCCCCGTAACCTCCAAATACCCGCTCGTTTTTTGGGTATGATTTGTCGACCCTCTACTGAAACAGGAGGTATTTACCGTGGAAAACCAGGTTTGTATAACTAGGTCCCCCAGCCAGGTGCCCTTTCTCTCCCCTTTTTTGGTTGGGAGGGTCCCCAAATAAAATAGACTACAGAAAACTGTTGGTACCCTGATTTAGAGGACCTAGATAACCCGCCCCTTCGTCAGGTACCTGATTGGTGGTTTGGATTGGTGGATTGTGGATTTGAACGGGTCCCTGGCTTTTGTAGAGGGCAATTGGGAAACCCCTTCTGAACCACCAAACCACCAATGCAAACCAAGGAGAGGGAAGCTGATTTGGGTTTGCCTGATCAAACCAGTTGTTCTCGTCACCAGGTGTACCCCCGTAACCTCCAAATACCCGCTTTTTTTTTTTTTGGGGGGGGGGGTATGATTTGTCGACCCTCTACAAAAAAAAGGGATCGGTATTTACCGTGGAAAACCGATCGGTTGTTCAAAAAATACCCCCTACTCCAAATACCCACTTTTTCTAGTTGGCATTTGTTGGGAAAACCGATCGGTTTTCCATGGTAAATACCGATCCCTTTCGAAAAATACCCCCTACTCCAACTACCCACTTTTTCTAGTTGGTATTTTTTTAGAAAACCGATCGGTTTTCCCTGGTAAATACCTCCTTCCCTTTTTTAGTAGAGGGTCGACAAATCATACCAACTAAAACTAGGCATCGGGTATATACCACTTTTTTAGTAGAGGGTCGACAAATCATACCAACTAAAACAAGGCATCGGGTATATATATATATATATATCACTTTTTTAGTAGAGGGTCGACAAATCATACCAGCTAAAACAAGGCATCGGGTATATACCACTTTTTTAGTACAGGGTCGACAAATCATACCAGCTAAAACAAGGCATCGGGTATATACCACTTTTTTAGTAGAGGGTCGACAAATCATACCAACTAAAACCAAGGCATCGGGTATATATATATATATATCACTTTTTTAGTAGAGGGTCGACAAATCATACCAGCTAAACAAGGCATCGGGTATATACCACTTTTTTAGTACAGGGTCGACAAATCATACCAGCTAAAACAAGGCATCGGGTATATATATATATCACTTTTTTGTAGAGGGTCGACAAATCATACCAACTAAAACAAGGCATCGGGTATATACCACTTTTTTAGTAGAGGGTCGACAAATCATACCAACTAAAGCAAGGCATCGGGTATATACCACTTTTTTAGTAGAGGGTCGACAAATCATACCAACTAAAACAAGGCATCGGGTATATATACTTTTTTAGTAGAGGGTCGACAAATCATACCAACTAAAACAAGGCATCGGGTATATACCACTTTTTTAGTAGAGGGTCGACAAATCATACCAACTAAAGCAAGGCATCGGGTATATACCACTTTTTTAGTAGAGGGTCGACAAATCATACCAACTAAAGCAAGGCATCGGGTATATACCACTTTTTTAGTAGAGGGTCGACAAATCATACCAACTAAAACAAGGCATCGGGTATATACCACTTTTTTAGTAGAGGGTCGACAAATCATACCAACTAAAACAAGGCATCGGGTATATATATATATATATATCACTTCTTTAGTAGAGGGTCGACAAATCATACCAACTAAAACAAGGCCTCGGGTATATACCACTTTTTTAGTAGAGGGTCGACAACTCATACCAACTAAAACAAGGCATCGGGTATATATATATATATATCACTTTTTTAGTAGAGGGTCGACAGCTCATACCAACTAAAACAAGGCATCGGGTATATATATATATATATATCACTTTTTTAGTAGAGGGTCGACAAATCATACCAACTAAAACAAGGCATCGGGTATATATATATATATCACTTCTTTAGTAGAGGGTCGACAAATCATACCAACTAAAACAAGGCATCGGGTATATACCACTTTTTTAGTAGAGGGTCGACAACTCATACCAACTAAAACAAGGCATCGGGTATATATATATATATATATGTATCACTTTTTTAGTAGAGGGTCGACATGATACCCTAATACAAGTTGGTATTGGGTGGTTACGGGGAATACCCGGAAGAAAGCGGGTGCATTTGTTAACAAGGCACTCCCAAAAAAACAAGGGGGGGGTGTGGGCCGGCCCGAGCGGGTTTTGTGCGAGACGAACGGCGGCCCATTTTTTTTCTGCGTTTTTTGGCCCTCGGGAATGGAGGGAATGGAGTCGTAAAAATACGCGTCTCCAAGCCAAACACAGACACACATATACGTTTTCGGTCTGACGAAATAACATGGCTTGTCTTTGGAGTTGGTACCCCGTTTTGGTTGGTTGGGGGCCATACGGAACAGAATCATAAGACTTGGTTTTTGCTGTCGCCTGTTTGTGGCAGTTTCCCTGGGCATCCAGAGGAGGGGTCTGGAATCGATATCGAGTCGAAGGGATCAATAGTCCGTTCAGCCCCCAAATGGCCATGGAAAAAAAAACCTTCTCCCTGTGTGGTTGAAACAAATATCACATGGTGGTGGTTGGGAAATATTTTACATTTTGTTTACTGTGGTTTGGTGGTTGAAATCCAACCACTTAACTGCTAAAATTTGATTTTTTGCCGCCTTTCCAACGTCAACCGAGATCAATCTGCATCCGTTTCGTTTTTGCCCATGGTCAGCCCAAGGGTCATCCCATGTTTATGTTTGTGCCTTTTGATCACCCAGATCCGAGGTCAAGGTGGTACCAGAAGCGGAGTGCAGCATTTGCTGCGAGCTGCTGTCCGTGAAGGAGGTGGAGCCGTCACTCGGTTCGTTCGACCAAGTCGTGTTGGATGAGACATGTGTCTAGGGGTTGATTCCTTGTCCAGTCTTTTCAACCATTGTTCTTTTCAAAAACCGATCGCTGTTTCCCTGCGTTTCTGAAGGTTCTCCAGAAAGAAGGATTCCTGCAAAAATAATGGGGAAGGTACCATTAGAATGTGGTATACCTTAGACCCAATAACCGGCCCTTTTTGCGGGTATGATTTGTCGATCCTCTACTAAAACCGGGTTTGGTACTCCTGGAAAACCGAAACCGGTTTTCCAACAACTATTTGGAGGTTACGGGGGTATATTAACCCAACCTTCGTTTCAATGGCGGTAACTGAAACCCAGAATTTGGGGTTGCTATCAACTCTATCCAAACCCAGGGGGGGATACCTTCCAAAAATCGGGCGGCTTGGGTCCCTGAAATCGGGTTTTTCGTGGTCCTTGTGGTTCTTTGGAGCCCTGAAATTTCATGGTTTTTGCGGGGTACCTCTTTTGTCCTCTACAAGAACCAGTTGCTCAAATCCCCAAGCCATCAATCCAAACCACCAACTTGGATTTCTGAAAACCCCGCCAGATGCACAAAGAAAGTACAAAACAAAGTACAAAGTACGAAGCATTTATTGGCAAAACAAAATACAAAACAAGCAACGCAAACACAAAGACCCGCCAGATGCACATAACTTGCCTAGATGCACGTCACGTCTTTCTCCAAAATACAAGAGAAGCAAATACAAGTATACATGACCAGCTGAGATGATTTCCCCTCCATTTTGGCTGGGTCCCTGAGACGGCCTGCGGCGTGTCGGCATTTCACTAGCATGTTGCCTTAAGCCTAAGTAGGCCATGGTGAATGAGTTGCCAAATATGGCTACCTGGAGTCTCCATGATCCTTAACTGGGCTGTCCTCAGATCCCTCGCTACAAGTCTCACTTTGAGCGGTTTAGCTCAAACTACCACTAAACCGACTGAAAGTTAAAAACCTAAGTTGAACCGGACGATTGGCCGGGAATCCGACCCGCCGAGAAAATGGGTTGCCATGACCCAAAGCTTCGCCATGTTTGGAGGCTCGGAAGGCGGTACAGAAGGGGTTACACCCATCCCCTGAAGGAAAATGAGGGAACACCAAATTCGAGAGGCTGACACAATAGAGTGGAATTCCATGTGATGTAAGAATCAGGAAGCTAGCACACCCAACCAATACAGTTAGCTATACCTGGAAACCCATATGTGAAGTGTTTTGTTTTTTTCCAAACAAGAAAAAAACACATCTGTCCATACGGCTCGGGCCCCCAAAAGTTTTGCCCGGCTTTCCAGTCAAAACAAATTCTGTCTTTTTCAACCACACCTTCAGCCAAATCCCCCAGTTTCCCCGCAGATTTCTCAACACCAAACCCCCAAGCTTCCTATGATGTCGACACTCTACTAAAAAAGGGATCGGTATTTACCCTGGAAAACCGAAACCGTTTTTTCCAAAAATAAGTACCAACCCAAAAAACAGCGTGGGTATTTGGAGGTTACGGGGCTTCCGATGTCGGCTCCTTTGCTCCGATGGCGGCTTCGCGCTGAAACCGAAACCGAGTGCGCGAAGCGAGCGGGTCGAAAAGCCGCCAGGTCTTGGCGCTGCCATGCCAGGCCCGCGGCTGCGGCGCCTTGGTGCAACGGAAAAAGGTTTTTCAGACGAGACGAGGGCCATACTTTGAATGGCTTTGGGAAGCCTTTGGGAAGCCCTTAGGCTCAGATACCGAGAAAAAGACCTGACTATATTGAAAGGGTCAAGGAGACTCCAGGTGATATGAGAGCCAACGAGACGAGTGGGCGGGGACCTGTTTGTTGGCCCTAAGTACTCCAGCTAGGTCTCCCAGCGAAATGCCCTTTCTGTTGCCTTTTTTTGGCTGGGAGGGTTCCCCTACTTAAAATAGACTGCAGAAAAAAAGTTGGTACCCTTATTGGAACCTCTCTACTGGATATTTTTGTTGAAGTTGAACCCAACCATTGCCATGGCGGTGATTGAACCATGATGTTTGTGACTGAACCATTGTCATGGGCGGCTCTTTTTTGTTCCCCCGTAACCTCCAAATACCCGGCCTTTTTCTAGTTGGTATTTTTGATGAAAAACCGATCGGGTTTCCATGGTAAATACCGATCCCTTTTTTTAGTAGAGGGTCGACATCATACCGAAAAAGAGGGTATTTGGAGTAGGGGGCTTTCAAATCCAAAAGGAAACTGGCGAAGGGTGACCTACCAAATGGGCGAAACGGATTCCTGGTATCCACCGGGTGGGATAAAACGCATGCACCGACCTTGTGAAGCCTCCATTTGCTTAAGAGTGTTTTTAAATCATTTTCCCTTGTTGGTCTTAAAAGGAATTCATCAGCCCATCCTGTCAGAAACTCTCTCGTCCATGGGCTTCTTAAAGGGGAGATCCCCTCCAAACGACTACGAAATGATGTGTGTTGAGGCGTCGCCAGAATGGCCTTACATTTGGGCTTGCTCCGATCCACTTTTGAGTAACTTCAGCTGGTGTTGGGGGACAAGCAAATGAGCAGGTATCTATTGCAGGGCCAAATTTCTCACTGACCGAGTCTTCGGAACACCCCTGCAATACTTGTGTCATATATAGATTTCCCGCATAGTTGCAACCGATTTTGACACACCACTTCTGGGTTTAAAGTACCTCTCTAGGGGTTCAACCGCAATCAATATTCTGTCAAGGGCCCAATGTAGATGAGCATGACAATGGTTGTAATTATATGAAGCCAGACAAACATGCGAATCGCGGTACTCGCGTTTTCGGAATAGAAACTTGTTGGTAACCTGGGTCAAACTCCACTTGTAGGTCGCCCATTCAGTGGAAATAACTCTGTTGGGTTGTTTCACCCATGTGGCTAACCGCCTTGGCAACGAACCTTTAAGTAGGAATTTTGAGGGAACTGTACAATCTTAAGCCGCTTGGCTGGATGCCCGGGAATGTTGAGAGTGCCATTGCTGGGGTGCTTGAAGATGTAATGGCATTTGCCGAATTATCGTCAAAACTGCATCTACTTGGGTGACTCCTTCTGGATTCAAACAATCGTTGCCAATGGGATGCAGGCCAGGTTAGCCGAAACACCCACAAGTCATCAGCACGTTGGAGTTGGGCCAACCCCCAAAACAACATAATCCGACCGTTTTGGGCCAAGACGGTCGGAACATCATGCCTCTGCCTCTCTTTCACCAGGCGATGCCCTCTTTCCAACAAGCATTGGGACCCAACCGGCAGGGCGAATGATTTCAATGCAGTTGTTCAGTGAAATCCAGATGTAGTTCTTGGTTAGTTGCCAACACAAGTCTCCTCAGTTCCCTCAACAGAAATTGGGCGTGGGTCAAAAATAGGTACCCCAAATGGAACTCTGATAAATGGACATGGGACTAAAACCTGCAGTCCCCTAGTGGTGTGATTTTGACCCATACCCAACCGGCCCCCTTTTCCCACTGTGTGGTATGCTCTCTCCCCTTTTGCGAGGATCCCACTTCCACATGGAGTGCATCCGTCGGCGGCCAAGACGGGAAAAACTCGTCGCCAGGGTTTGCCGAATTTGTTGAAACCACCAGCTCCCATTTGCTGAAATGAATTTTTTTGTTTTTAAAAAAATAACATTAAAAGAAAAAAAACCCTTGCCCTGTTGGTTTTGAAGGGAATCAATTTCACTACTGGACATCTTCTTTTCTTTGTTTTCCAGGGGACAAAGAAGCAGCTGGATTTCCAGGGGACGAAAATTTCACTACTGGACATTTCCAGAAAACGACACCACCACAGCCCCACGCCCACGCCCTCGAGGCTCGTGAACCCAATGGAGCTGTTCCAACGTCAAGGATTTCGTGGTGAGTTTCCCGGCGTGGACTGCCCCCGAAACCTCCAAATACCCGATGCCTTTTTTTTTGTTGGTGTGATTTGTCGACGCTCTACTAAAAAAAATGAGGTATTTACCATGCAAGCCCATGCAGGTTTTTCACAAAATACTGTAGAACAAGTGGGTATTTGGAGTAGGGGGTATGTCTTGGACGCACACCGCCCCAAAACTAATTTACTGCCCACGCCTTGAGACAGGAAACGCCAGGCCCGCCAAAAAAAGGGGGCACCCGCCTGCGAAAAAAGGGAAACACATACGCAAAAAAAAAGGCGTCTAGAACGTCTAGAACGCCAAGAATGCCTTAAGAAAGAAGAACGCCTAGCAATTCCTCGGCATTGGAATCTTCAGAATATGGTTGGTTGATTTTGATCGGACAGTGTCCCCCAGTTCATACAGGGGTAAGAGAACTTGAGGGGAACGCCCCCTGCCAATCTCAGAAAGTCGACCGCATACTAGTGGGAGCCAACAACCAACCCAACCCAAACCAGAAGACTAATCGATCCTCCTTAAATCCAACTTAAACAAATAAACTGGGACAAGATCAGCCGAACTTCGCTTCAACCCATCTGGGACCAGATGAGCCGAAATTCACCAGACCCAAATGTTTCCCCTGTTTGGGTTCCCATTATATACTTTGGTGCATGTTGCCATGTTAGGACTTCAACTTTGTTTTCCGTATTAAACCACTAAAAGTTAAGCTTGCCATGTTAGGATGGGGTTTTGCGGTTTAAATTCCACTTAAAGTTCTCAGCTTTTAGGAAGGGAGCAGATTACGCAGCCGAGAATACTTACGGCTCTGGCCAAATGTCGGGGTCCAAACGAGCTGGCAACTGAAAAAATGGTCCCTCGCGAGGTAGGCATGCAGGACGCTGACGCCCGAAGTTTGCTTTGGGGGTCACCAATTCTAGGTCCCCCAGCGAAAGGGTGCCCGACCTCTCACGTCTTTTTTTGGGAAGGGAGGGTTCCCCTACTGACATAGACTACAGAAAAAAATCGGGTACTAACTTATTCTAACCTCCAAAACTGGAGGACCTAGGCAATGTATGGAGGGCGTACAATGTATGGAGGGCGTACCCCAGCATACGTTGTGGCTGTATGTGGGTACAAGGGCAATGCATGGAAGAGGGCGCTTAACGGCTGACGTTTTTCCTCTGTAAAGATGTTTGGGGAAGCAGTTGGGCAGTTCCATGTGGTTGTTTCCCCAAATAAGAGGCCGAAATGGCTCTTGCAAGCTTTCTCCAATTTCAGGTGGAAGAAACCTGGCAGAACAGGGGTTTGACGTCTCCTTGAGTTTCCCGATCAGGGCCAACTGTCTAGGCTGGCGCTGTAGCTCTGAACCAGTACACGGGTTCGTCTTTTTGTTGGCGGACCCCGCCCCCCCAAAAAGATTTGGTTTGACCTTTTTGTTGCTGCCCTCCCAACAAAGAACATTATATCCCTTTGGTGTTGGGTGGTAATGTGAGCCGATCAATAAACCACCCCCGTAAATAGGGCCTTGGGGTGTTTCCGTCCAAGAGTGGTCTGATTCCCCCCGCTAAACCCAGGGACGTCTATATTGAACTGGGGTTGATGAACCTGGGGTTAACATCTGGAGACCACTCTTTGGAACCAAAAGGAAAGAGCGGTATACTATACATGGGTAAGTGGGATCACTGCTATACATGTTTTTTGTTTTTTATGTGTTTTTCAGGGGTCGGAAGCAAATGAAACAGTTGCGAAACGCCTGGGTTTGGTTCCCTTGAAATACCAACAGGAGACTAGATCGAAGGGTTACCTGCGAAACCGATTCCTGGGATCCGCCGGAACCGTTTAGTTTCCTAGGTCCTCCCAGCTAGGTGCCCGACCTCTCACCCCTCTTTTGGTTGGGAGATTCGGTTCCCCGTGACTGAAATAGACTGCAGGAAAAAGCAATGGGTTTCCGAAAATGATTCTAACCTCCAAAACTGGAGGACCTGTTGGGTTTCCGAATACCCACGAGAGATTCACTTTTCGCGGATCTAAAAATGGGCCACCGTTTGGTTTCCGTATCGAGAAACCCATCCGGGCTCCGATTTACCGAGGCCCCTGGCTGGAGCGGAACCCCAGCTGCCCCTTGTGCCGAGACACGCTGCCTCGGGCTCAGCAGCTGGGGACGGCCCCACTTTTCTAGGGGCTCCTCCCCCATTGCGGTTTGGCGGTTGAAATCCAACCACCTTACTGCTAAAAATCATTTTTGTTGCTCCCCTTCCAACGTCAACCAAGTAGAACCGGAAAGTAAGCAGCAGTACCTCCCCCATTCTTTCCAGGGATCCGAATCTTTCCAGAAAATCTCCAGAAACCCAGTTGGAAAACGGCGATCGGTGTTCGAAAAGAGCGATGGTTGAAAGGAATGGGGAACCAACCCCTAAAACTTTGGGGACGGCTCGGCGGTTTTTTTTGTGGGGGGGGGGGCTAACCCGCTTTTGGAGGTGTGCGTTGGAGGGAAACCAGAACTCAAGGTGGTTCCCAGCCATCCGGTTCCTCAGGTTTTGAGGTGTCTAAAAAGTTCCTGGCACCCCGTATGGCTGTTTTCTTTCGGTCAAACTCCCGTATTTGGCCGTATTTGCCCGTATGGCCATGATTTTTCGGTCATTTGCGTAAATCACCCGTATGAAACCCATTTTTTTCGACATGTTGTTGAAAAAAAGCCGTAAAAAACTGTATGGCCATTTTTTTCGGTCAAAGGCGTATGACCAAAAAAAAACGGCCATATGGGGTCCCAGGTTGCGTTTAGTGGAAGTCTCCAAAGTTCTGGCAACCAGAATTAGCTCCCCTTTTTACTTTTTTGCTCTTTTGAGGGGTCCCTTTGTTTTCCACTAACCAGGCAAAAAGGATATTTTTTTTGCTGGGGTCCTAATTCCAGCCTAGATTTCTGGCAACTGTCCTTCTCTTCCAAATACCAAGTGCCTTTTTGTTGTAGTTGGTATCATTTGTCACCCCTTTACTCAAAAACGGAAGGGGGTATTTCCAAACAACACGACTCACCCAAATAGGGGATTCCTTTCTGGATGGATTTAAAGGGAAACCAAAAGGAAACCAGCCACCGGAGGAGTCCCCGATTTTGAGAGACTCCCAACTTAGTGTTGCGCCTGGCCATCCCCATTTGGCCCGGTACTTGAATGTTCCAGCCACGGCATAAGTTACTTCACCAGGGTTGGTGTGACAACAGGCTGGTCGGGGTTTATTCAAGTTTATTAGTTCCTACGGGTTTTCGCCTTGCTATGTACCTGGACCCTCAAACTACATATAAAAAAAGGGATTTCACCCCATCATCTTGGGGCTATTAAGGAATTTTGAGGGTCCAGGTAGGTGAAAATGAGCCACGTCTTCAAAACCCAGGGATTGATGATTCGAATAGTAAGGGACAATCTTCTTGCCAGTTTTTTGGGTGCAAATATCCGGTTTGGGTGGACCTTTTTAATACCGAATGGTTTTGAATGTGACACAGATGTCGTGTAGTTTCTCGTGCTGTTGTTCGCTTCCAGTCTGGATTGTTCCAAAAGTATATGGCTGCGGCTCAAAAAGTGGTGCCAAAATGGCACCGTGGTGAATGGAACCAAAGCCTAAAACCTGCGTAACCCTAGCTCTTTAAGTTTGAGCCATACCCATATTAATCTCAGCAAATGGAAGTCCTTGTCCTTTCACTTCCTCAAAGATTTGGGCTTTCGCTCCAAAGGGTCGTTCAAGCTTCTTTGGGTACCCCCTACTCCAAATACCCACTTTTTTGGGGGGTATCATGTCGAGCCTCTACTAGAAAAAGGATCGGTATTTACCTTGAAAACCCGAAACCGGTTTTCCAAAAAAATACCAACTAGAAAAAGTGGGTATTTGTTTGTTGGAGTGGTAAAACCAGTGTTTTCCAAAAATACCAACTTAAAAAAGGCCGGATCTTTATTTGGAGGTGAATCGGGGGTAGGTAGTTCCAGTTTCCATGGCGGGTGCCAGAAACCCCTCGGCTCCACACCGACGGAAGCTTCGAAGGAAGCCAAGCCTCGAGAGCTTCCTCAAACCGAACCCCTTCGGGTAGATCCGGTTCGTAAGCTTACCCTGTAACCCAATACCCGGCCTTTTTTTAGGGTATCATGTCGACCGTCTACTAGAAAAGGAGGTATTTACCTTGAAAAACATACCCTAAAACAAGTGGGTATTTGGAGTAGGGGGTATTATTGTTCTTCCCCCTACTCCAAGCATCTGTTTTTTTTTAAATTTAAGGGCAATTTTTGGAGCACCTGGTTTTCCAGGGAAAACATGCCGATCCCTTTTTTTGTGGAGGATCGACCTCAATCCCTTTAAAAAGGGGCCGGGTATCGGGTGGTTTTCCGGGTGATTTCCCCTGTTTCGACAGAATCGTTGTCCAGCACTGGACACATGTTCTCAGCCCAGGGGACTTGAGCAAATGGAACCCCCGTAACCTCCAAATACCCGATGCCTTTGTTTAGTTAACGTATCATGTCAACCCTCTGCTAAAAAAGGGATCGGTATTTTCCATGGAAAACCGGGTTTTCCAAAAATACCCTGAAAAAAGGTGGGTATTTGGAGTAGGGGGATGGAAGTAAGGGATAATCCTAACCATCAATCGGCACGGATGTCCGCCTTTGTCTCGTTCTTTGCATGGGTAGACCATTTTAGTACCTAGATAGCCAAGTTGCGATCGCTTTTTTCAGTCACTGTTGCTGGTTTTTGGGGTAAAGTGCATGAAACAACAAACAGCAACAGGGGTTAAGAATGTGTTTTTGTTATTTCTCTGGTTTTAAAGGGAACCTATGACTACTGGAACTATTCTCCCGTTTTTTGCAGGGGACTTGAGCAAGCAAATGGTTTAGCACCGGTCGGCTTTGATGACTCATGAGCTCCTGAACTTCACACTTTTGGAGAAGACCACTTTAGTGGTACATGGGTATGGGTCAAATTAGAGAGCGGCCGGGCATGGGGCCTGGAGTTGTGAAAGCATCTTTTTTAGGACTTGCTTCTGCAAAATTAGCCACCATGGAATTCCACTGGGGTTGGCTTGAGAGCGGTTAACCCTTCGGGGGAAAAGCATCGCTCAGCCCATGGACAAATCCATTTGTTTCAGTGACACATGGGGGCTGAGCAAAAGGTCTGATCCACAGGGGATTATCATTCCAAAAAGATGATATGGCCATGGGTCAAAACCCCGGTTAGCCCCCAGTGAACATCCCAATCCCCACTAAAATAGGTTCTAAAATGGGTGATGCACCTACCCCGAAATGGAATCCCATTGGTTTTGACCCACAGCCACATAAAAGTTCAGACCGTTTTTTTGCCAACCCACTGCATCGGAAGTGAGTTCTAGAACCACCAGTGGGTAGCCTAGCTGATCAGCCGTATAAATGAGGGGCAGCAGGTTAAACGCAGAGGGCACGAGCCTTTCTTTTTGTCCCTGAGCCTTCCATTTGCTGAAATTTGAATATTTGCCATGTTCAATCAATGAATCGATTTTTCACGACTGGAAAAAAGAGGTGCTCATTTTTTTTGGCCGGTGAGCGAAAAAGCTTTCAAATTTTCGAAATGGGTGATGCACCTACCCCGAAATGGGATCCCATTGGTGGAAGGACACCCTTTCTCAAATTTCCGTCTCTCCATCCTTATCTCCGGCCTGGGCTTCGATTCGATCGACTTCGAGCGCCGGCTTTCCCCGGGCGGATTTTTTTTTTTCTTTTCGGAGGGTTTAACCTGAGATTTGGACTGGAGTCAAATGGAAATGGAAGGTATGGAAGCTTGAAATGGAGCCCAGGTAAGAATGACAGACTGGACTTCCCCAACAGAAAATCCATTTCGCACCACCTAAGAAACCATGAAAACCATGGTTTCCTGGTATTTGCAGGCGAATCATCATTTCAAAGTTTCTGAAGTGGTGCAGGACTTTGTCCATCCACAGTATTTCACCACCACGTTTTCCGTTCAGGATTCTCATCCTCCAAATTGGGTCCCTTACCCCTCACACCCAATACCTCCTTTTAGTTGGTATCATGTCGACCCTCTACTAAAACAAGTAGGTATTTACCTTGAAAAACCAGGTTTTCCCAAAATACCCTAGAAAAAGTGGGCATTTGGAGTAAGGCCGGTTTTCTAAAACATACCAACTAGAAGAAGGCCGAGTTTCGGTATTTGGAGGTTACGGGGGGGGGGGCTTTAGGAAGCCTTCGGGAAGCCCATAGGCTCGGATACAACAAAATGAAAATCGTGAGGTTGAAAAAAAAGGTCAAGCTTCTAGGGGTAACTTCCCCATTCTTTCCAGGGATCCTTCTTTCTGGAAAACCACCAAAAACCCTGGGGAAATGGCTGGTTTTTGAAAAGAACGATGGCTGCAAAGAATGGGGAATCAACTCCCGGAAAGTTGCGACTCAGAGAGCGAAGGTTCTTCTCGCTTGTTTCCAGATTTTATGTTCGAGTCCCATTTAGGTATGGGTCAAAATTAACAAGAAGGGCCAACAACCTTTCATGTTTTGTAGGTTTCTCAGTAAAACCTGGTGTGTTGGATGGTAGAACACCGAGATATTGCAATGGGGCGGATAACACGGATCCCCCCCCCCTACTTTTTTCAGCACGTTAAATACCTCCTTGTTTAGTACAGGGTCGACATGATACCCTAAACAAAGTGGGTATTTAATTATTTGGAGTAGGAGGTTAACCATATGTCCCCCGTACCCTCCAAATACCCGGCCCTTGTTCTTGGGTATGATTTGTTGACCCTCTGAAAAAGGGATCGGTATTTACCATGGAAATGCGGTGTCTTTGTTTTTGTTTAACAAAAAGTGGGTAGCCGGGTACAAAAAGGTTTGGGGGGTTTGGGTTCCCAGGGTAAAGAGACACACCTGCTTGAGGCCGCAGCTGGTGCGCCCGGTCACTCCTCGCAACACAGGCGGGGTCCGAAAAGATTGGGGCAATTTGAAATCCAACTTGGGTTCCGAGCCATTCATCTGGGTATGGGTCAAAATTAAACCACCAGAGGACCGCAGGTTTAGTCCAGGTTTCCGTTTACCAGGGTTCCATTTCGGATACCCCCGTCACCTCCAAATACCCGATGTCTTTGTTAAGGCTATGATGTCGGGCCCCTACTAAAAACTTACCTCTTAAAAACACAACTTTTCAACTTTTTGGGTAACATGGGCTTTTTCTGTCTGTAAAAGATTAACTTCCCCAGGGCTTGCAGTTTTAAGAGGTAAGAAAAAGGGATCGGTATTTACGGTATTTGCCGAAACCCCCACATTTCCCCTAGGTTGGTCTTCAGCATCACCTTCTGGGCCCTTCGGCTTTTGGTTGGATGCAATGCTTAAAGGGGAAATATACCCCCGTAACCTCCAAATACCCGGCCTTTTTCTGGGATTTTTTTTTAGAAAACCGGTTTTCGGGGTGTTTTTTTTTTTTTTTGAGAACCTGGTTTTCAAGGTAAATGCCTTCTTTTTGACTAGAGGGTCGACATGATACCAACTAAAACAGTGGGTATTGGGTGTAAGGGGTACCTGCAGTCTCTGTTTGAAACATACCCCCGTCACCTCCAAATACCCCATACCCATTTTTTAAGGGTATGTTGCCGTCCCTTGAACATGGGTTATGCCCCAAAATCATTGGTGAAATGGTGAAATCCCTTTTTTATGGGTAGTTTGAGGGAGGTATCTGGAGTTTCCCTAAGGACCCTTTTAGAATGGGTCCATGACCAACCATGATTTTGGGTAACGACCCCATCTTTTAAGGGTCATGGAGACTCCAGGTACTTGGTGACTTGAATCGTAACAGCCATCCGGTTCCACTTAGCTTTTCAGATCTTTTGAGTTGGTTCAGTGGTCCGAATTTAACCCACAAGTTGTTCACTTTTAGCTGACAGCCCAGCATATGTGTTGCCCTCTCGAAAAATCGAAGAATCATGTTGAAGTGCTTTTTGGAGGTCCCCAAAATGAAACACTAGTCTTCCCACTTTCCGCCTCCATGATTCATGATGGAGGGTGAAGGGCAGTAGTCGCCAGAAATCGCTGCGGACGCCATTGGTTTCTTTACCACACAGTTTGGGTAGAGCACTTTCGCCCTGCAACCACTGGGTGTTTTGGGTTGCACTGGGCCCAGGTTGCAACTCTTTTTTGGGTTCCGACTGTGTTTTGGGTTCCCAGTTGAAGGGTTTCTTTCAACTCTTTTGGGGGTTTTGGGTTCCGACGTTCCTCAACCGCAACCCTAAACCCTTCACCAAAAAAACCCTCCGATCCTTTTCCAGAGCTTCCGAAGGGCCGCAGCTTGGGCAACTTTGGTCGGCCGGTTTCAACACCCCGAAAAAGGAATCACGTAGAAAGGCAACGCAAAAAGGCAACGCAAAAAGCCCGTAAAAGGAACGTACACTCCCTGGGACCCCATATGGCCGTTTTTTTTTAGGTCATACGCCTTTGACCGAAAAAAATGGCCATACGGATTTTTACTGATTTTTTTCAACAACATGTCGAAAAAATATGGTTTTCATACGGGTGATTTACGCAAATGACCGAAAAATCATGGCCATACGGGCAAATACGGGCAAATACGGGAGTTTGACCGAAAAAAAACAGCCATACGGGGTGCCAGGTCCCCATAAAAAAAGGCATCCCGAAAAAAACAGGGGGAAAAAAGGTGTTTCAATTCGGCCTCCGTAACTCGAAACGGCCTTTGGACTCCCTGGGCTTTTTTCTTTCTGGAAATCCGCTGGGCATCTGAGGTATTGATTGTATTCTTACCTCTTAAACACACCACACTTTTCTCAACTTTTTGGGGGTAACATGGGCGAAACATGTCTGTAAAAGATGAGAACTTCCCCAATCCTTGGAGTTTTAAGGGGTAAGTATTGCAGCACTGTTGACTGCTGCTTATTTGTCTTTTACACGGCACCCAACGGTTTTGGGGAGAATGAGATCTAAGCTTCCTTTTTATCCGCCTCCATGGTGAAACCAGAACGAGCGCTTAAAACAGTCCGAGCAATCCGTTTCGAGTCCCAAAGCCCTCGATTTCATGTTTCGCTGTCCCGAATTCCGCAGGGCCATTGAGCATGGTGAGACTGGTTTTGGCACTGGTCTTTCATTTGCGTTTCAGAGTACGTTCTGTTTCCCGTTGGTTTAAAGGGAATCTATCACTGTTGGAAATATGTTATAGATGTTTGTTCAGGAGATTTAAGCAAATGGAGAGGGTTTGTCTAGGAAGCATTGAGCCAAAGAAAATGCAACTTTTAAAAGGAATTCAGGAATGCGTAAGAAAACGGCAACGTTCCGCAAAAAAATGCAACTCCCTCCAACAGGAGTTGTGTTTGCTTGAAGTACCCCCACTTTGGAGGGTATTTTAGAGGGAAGCAACAAAAACAACCACGCATGTGTGGTTCCCTCATTTTGGCACACACCCAAAGAGGTATGTCGCAACCGTACCGGTCTTAGGGATGCATTTTGTAGATGTTCCAGGTTTTGGTAGCCGCGGCATACTCTAGTGCCATGAGAGGTTGAGAATCCCCGAGCCGAGACAGCTGCCTTTTTCAACTGGTCTTCATCTCCCTCCCAATGGATCCATCCATTCAGACCGATCGCATAGCTGGTTACCTACTATATGTCTTTGTGGCTCCCAGCCATCACTTTAGCTTTTTAGCCTTTTAGTGTTTAGTGGTAGTTTCCATTTAGCCCACTAAAAGTTAAACTTTTAGCGGGGGATCCGAGGGCAGCCCAGATGTGAAACGCCTGGGATCCACTAGGCCTGAACACATTCTAGAAAACGGGTTTGGATGCGTTTTTTGATGAATTCACCTGCTCTTCCCCTGCAGGTTCGTTTTTAGAACCTTTTAAGTACCTGTTTAATATCCTACAGGGGTGGATCTACAGATTTGGATTCCACAGCCAAACCGTTTTCTGGAAATACCTGCCTGGATCGCCACGTTGCTGCTTTGTTCAGTCACTGTTGCTGGTGTTTGGGGTAAAATGCCACTGGGAGAAAACAAGACAAAAACAGAAACGCCGCTGGCAATCCAGGTTCTGGTTCTCTCGTCTTTTTTTTCAGCCAAACAACAGCCACTGGAGATCAAGGTGCTGGTTCTCTCGTCTTCTTTTTCAGCAAAAAAAGAAACAGCCACTAGAGATCCAGGTGCTGGTTTTATGTTTTTTTTCAGCGAAGGGTTGCCTGCAAAACAACAAAAACACCTTATGATCCAAAGGTGCTGGGCCCCAAACTTGGGGAATTGGGGCTGCAAACGCGTCGCCTTTCTCTCGCCGCTCGCTTTTTGCGGGGGTCCAACTTGGGGAAAGCCGGTGGCGTTTTTTTTGCTTCTTTTGGCCGATCGGGGCTGGGGCTGGGTCCTTGGGGAAGAAAGCCAACTTGGGGCTTTTGGCCGGTTGTGGGGATGGCTCATTTTCTTGCAGGCGCGACAAGGGAAGAGAAACGGAAGGAACCCCAAAATTCCGCAAAGGAAACCCAGAAAGTCCAAAGGCCCAGAAAGTCCAAAGGCCCGAGTTACGGAGGCCGTTTAAACACGGAGGTTGTTTACGGCCTTTTTACGGGGTGTCTAAAAGGCCGTTGAAGGCCTAAGTTACTCAGGCCGAGGAAGCTCTGGGAAACCACAAGGGACCGGTAAACGGAGGGGTCATTCCATTTCTCATTCCCTATCGCGCGAGCAAGTTTCAGTTCGGGGTCCGAAGTGGGGAAACAACTGCCCCGGGCATTGGGATGCCATGCCCCGTAACCACCCAATACCCTCTTTTTTAGTTGGTGTGATGTAAACCCTCTACAAAAAAAGGATCGGTATTTACCATGGAAAACCGACCGGTTTTCCGAAAAATACCCCAGAAAACCTGCCTGGAAACCCATATGTGACGTTTTTTTTTCTGTCCATACGGCTTGGGCCACAAAAAATGACCATACGATTATTTACGTCTTTTTGTCAACAATTTATTGAAAAACAAAAGGGTTGCATACGGCCAAATATGGCCATTGGCCAGCAAAAAATGACCATACGGGAAAAATGATCCAAATATGGGTTCCGTCCAAAAAAAATGGCCATACGGCTTTCCAGGTGGGTATTTGGAGGTTACGGGGGTGTTTTTTGTTTCTTCTTTTCGCTTGCCGTGGGAGGCTTTCGGCTAAAACGGGCTGAAAGGAAAGCATCTCGGCTTTTACCCCGAGGCTCTAACCCAGTAGTGTTTTTGGTTTTCTTCTTGCTGGTGCGAGAGATGCAGGGAATGAGAAATGGAATGACCCCCATAAACCATCCTGGTGGTTTCCTTTTTTTCTTCCGGGGAACAAAAGCCCGTTCAGTCCATTTCACATTCCCTACAGAACTCGCACCAGCAAGTCTTTTAGCCGGTTGTGGGCATGCCCGTTGTTCTTTAGACTTTAACTTTTGGGTTCCCTATGAAACCCGCAAACAGTTAGACTTTTTGCGGTGGGGTCAATAGCAACGGAGTTTTTTTTTTTATTTTTATTTTTTTTCTCGGGGTGAAAGCGGAGTCGGCTCAAACCCCGGGCGATTTTTGTTTCGAGGGCATCCGCTGCTGGATCTCTGGTTCTTGGCGATGGCCATGCAACGCCAGGAGATTGACTCGGTTTTGAGCCGTTTTGTAGTCGGCGAAAGGCGAGGTTTTTTAGCTGCAACCAGTGGGGTGCTATTGTTTCTTCTTTTTTTTTGGGGTTTTGGGGTTCCCCTTCAAAGTCAACCAACCAAACAAGTTTGCCGATTCTTTTTTGTTCCAAGGCCACTGGGCATCTGAGGTTTTGAGCTGCTTTATGTTGGAGCAAGGTGGTTGGGTGTCCCCCACAAGTCTTCAACTTGTGGCAGGAGATTTGAAAATGGACAGCCCAGATGTACCTTCAAAGGGTTTGGTTACAGGAAAATCTACAGGGAAATGGCCCCAAAACACCCTTAATAGGCCGTTTTCCTGAAGATGTTCCTGTAACCCAACCCTTTGATACCTACGTTTCGAGCCCTTTTGCCCCCCCCCACCCCCCGCCCCCTAAAAAAAAACAAGCGCGGAAGGCGCCTCAGTGTGGGTTGCAATAATGACCATGTTTAAGTGGGTAGTTCATTCGGGTCCAGGTATTAAAACACAAGAGTGCCGATCGCTTTTTGTTTTTAGTTGTCCCCATGTGCAGGTTTAGGATGGCACGACTTTCGTGGTGTTCAAGCCAAAAGGATGGGAGGGATACAACTCAAGGTGTTTCCCGCACCGAAAAGCTTGCTTTTTTCGGGCTTGGGGCCAGGTTGTGAATGTCCAAGGACATTCAAAGCTCCTGAGTGCGTGCATACAAATCTCTGAACCCCTATGAAGCCGGAATGCTGGGATGTTGGGTGAATTCTTTCTTCGTGGCGTATTTTTGTTGAGAACTTTGTTTTGCGGGGTCCAAAATAGCTGGGCCGTTGAGAAACCGAACTGAGCCAGCTTGCTCCCAGGCATTTGTGGAACCAAGTCGAAAGGGGTCTGGAACGGGAGCTTCAAATAGGGAATCTACCCCCGACTCCAAATTTCTGGCCTTTTTTAGTATCATGTCCACCCTCGACTAAAAAAGGGATCGGTATTACCTTGAAAAAACCGGCTTTTCGGAAAATGCGCTCGACAAACAAAGGCCGGGTGTGTGGAGGGGGTATGACTGCCGTGTATTTGTTTGGGCACTTCAGACGGATGGAAGGTATATTCAGCTCAACTCACCAAGCCCCCCTGAAAGATGGAACATGACCCATGGAACATGTGGAACATACCCCTACTCCAACTACCCACTTTTTTTTAAGGGTATTCTTGGGAAATCCTGGTTTTTCAAGGTAAATACCTCCTTTTTTAGTAGAGGGTCGACATGATACCCTAAAAAAAGTGGGTATTGGGTGTAAGGGGTATTTACAGAGCTAAATGTATGAATCCACAGGGGTCTTTTGCACATGCCTTTTATGGAGGAAATATGGACCAGAATCGGAGAATGCGAATTGCGTGGAGTACCCAGATTTGAGCAATTGAACCACCCACATTACAACATTTGATTGTTTTCCCTTTTAATACCTAAAACTTCCTGCGGCGGAAATTTCTGCCGCAACGCATTGCGGCGGAAATTCCCGCCGCATTCCAGAAAATCAGCCGCAAACAAAAACTAACGCCGCAACCAAAACAAAACCGCCGCAACACCGTTTGATATCCGGGAAATTTCGCCGCATTCCCTCCGATTTCCGCCGCATTCCCGCCGATTTCCGCCGCAAATCGGGGGGTAGAAAAAACTGAAAACAAGTTCTACCGCAATTCTAAAAAAACGCCGCACATCAGGAAGAAATGCCGCAAATCCAAAAAGGCGCCTTTTTTGATTTGCGGCATAAATTTCTGCCGCAACGAATCTCTAGGTATCAACCGACATGGCAACAACATCCTTTTGGTTTCCCTTTCAATATCAACGATTTGGAAAGTCCATACACTCAGCCCAGACACCCAGTGCGCGTGCCCTTTTTTCCCGTGGAATTCCACTGGAGGTCGGGGTCGGCGTTTATTTTTCTAGGAGCGCGAGACCTTTATGGCCCGTCGACAGCCCGGTGCCGGTCTCAGAGAGCGATTTTTGTTTGGTTCCTTGGTTCCCTTTTGTTGTTGACTGGGTCCCGCAGCAGCGCCCACCCTTTCTTGGGGGGAGGGTTCCCCTACTAAAATAGACCACAGCAAAAACGGGTACCAACTTATTCCAACCTCCAAAACTGGAGGACCTAGTCCAATACAATAAGGGGAATTTGTGATTTCCTATAGGGACTACTCCTTCAATCATAACTGACATGAAAGTACCCACACCAATTCTAATTACCGAGGCCTTTATTACATTATTACCCAGCGGACCTCAAGAGGAGATCGGGCTATGTTGACAGGGAGGGTAACGATACATTCCCCCCTTCACTGTTATTTGCAGTTGTTTGGATTTTGTTTTAGGAATTTTAGTTTTTTTGGGCTGCAACACAAATCCCGGTGCGAGACTGAAACTTCTCCGGTGCGAGCCTAAAAACCACTCGGACAAGCCCGGATCAGAACCTCAGGAGAAACCAAGCTCGATCTCGAAACCGCGATTGGGAGAGTATCCTCAGTTCTTCAGTGGCACCGATTCTTTTTCCGACTTGTTTTTTGGTGGCTGCCCTAAAAATGGTCCAAGCCCCAAAAAGGGTTCCAATCCTTTTTCTTCCCAGGGTCACTGAAGAACTGAGTATCAGGCAAACGGGTCGGTTTGGATCTGGATCTGAATTTCTTTCCGTAGAGAATTTCACTCAAGCACCAGACCGATTCGAATGGCTCACCGCCCAGAGGGGAAGCGAGTAGCTGGATGGCAGTCGGTTTCTCGGGGTTTCTCGCATGTGAAATTCACCGTGAAACCACGAAACTAAGTGACTCGGGGCTGTTGGATCACTCGGGATTTATCCCCACTGCACTTTGGGGAATCTATAGGGTGAGTCTTTGTGAAGCCCTTTCTGTTGTATCATTTCTCGCAGCCCTGAACTGAATCCTTGGTGGTTCGGAACCAGCTTTTAGTTGTGCTCTAGTTAGTTTAGTGGTTGTTGTTTTTCATTGAACACACAAGTTAATTTTTCATCAGGGGATAGACAGCCCAGACTCGTTCATGGTCAACAGCTGTTTGAGGATCGGGTTTTGACCTCAGGGATCAACAATTCGCTCCCGCGAGCCAAGGGAGGAGTGTGTTGTGGGAAAAGATCCTGGAAGATGGTTTGACCATTTTGATGGCCTCAGCATTTTACCATCAACGTCACCCCCTAAATGGGTGAAAGGGACACAACATCCCCACCCCCTTCGGGCCCCCAAAAAGAAATGTAAGGGGCCCCCCCGCAGGTGTGTATATCCGGATTATATCCGTTTCTTTTTGAGGGGAGGGGGGGGGGGGGTAAATGTAACTTGAATGTAAACTGCTGATGCTGGAGGGGCAGATGTGGCGCATGCGCAGAGGCTTCTGAAGTGGGGCAAGTTCATGAAGTTGTAACTTGGCTATGTGCGAGGTACCTTGATGATAGGTCCACCAGCGTCCAAAATGTAGTCTTACATTTGGCACGTCCCCCGAAGAAAATGTAATCTTACACTTTTGGGTGCCAAACCCCAGAAAATGCAAATTACATTTTCAGACGTCCCCCCCCCCCCTTACTGGGGTGGGGATGGAACGACCCACTTTCTGATTTTGACAAGCCCTAGCCAGAATCAAAGCAATGACATCAGTGTTAGCGGCGCCAAGAAAAGCAGTTTCCGGACTGTTTTGGGCCCACCCACTCAGGCAGTGAGCATTGTTCGCCGAATTGCGAGGAATTGAGCAACGAATTGGTCAGGGAAACCAACTAGCAGGGATACAGGGGGAACCAGGGATACGGGATCGAGGATTCCCCCTAGATGCACCTTGACGAAGTGTTTCTCACTTCCTGAGTTGATGGACTTTAAACTTTTTGGGAAGACCATTTTGGTGGTAAGTTTAAAGTTTAGACTCTTTTTGGGCCATCCACTCAGCCAGTGAGACTAAGTTTTTGGGAAATGGCGCCAAGTTGGACTCCCCCATATCCCTGCTCCCGTCTCCCGCTTCTTCGTTTGTCCATTGGGCAGACCCAAAACATTGGGCAGACCCAAACCATTGGGCGTGGCTAAACATTTAGAAGCTGGGTGGCTAAACGCAGGGTTTGGTGGATCTAGTTCCCATGGCTATGAGAGGGATTCGAAAAAACTACGGCGGTCACCCCTTTGAAAGCTCAGACTGCTCAGAGCGCATGTCCAACACACCGTGTTTCCCGAGGCTTCGCCGGGCTGCAGGGAGCCCGGGGGCACAGAAACCACACGGTTCGGAAGCATCCGGTTCTTTGGGGGTGTTTAGCGGTTTTTTAGTTGGTTTGGTGGTAGTTGTGTTGCGGCTTCTAAGTTTTCAGTTGGTTTAACTTTGCTTGGGTTTCTGTTTTTTTGTTGGTTTGGTGGTAGTTGTGTTGCGGTTTCTAGGTTTTCAATTGGTTTAACTTTGCTTGGGTTTCTGTTTTTTGGTTGGTTTGGTGGTAGTTGTGTTGCGGTTTCTAAGTTTTCAGTTGGTTTAGCTTTACTTAGGTTTCTAATTATTATTTGGTTTGGTGGTAGTTGTGTTGCGGTTTCTAGGTGTTTAGTTGGCTTAACTTTACTTGGGTTTCTGGGTTTTAGTTGGTTTGGTGGTAGTTGTGTTGGGGTTTGTAGGTGTTCAATCGGTTTAACTTTACTTGGTTTAGTGGTTAGCGTCCAGAAAGGTTTTCCGGTTTTTAGTTGGTTTGGTGGTCATTGTTTTTTGGTTTCTAGGTGTTTAGCTGGCTTAACTTTACTTGGTTTAGTGGTTAGTGTCCAGACAGGGCTTCTGGTTTTTAGTTGGTTTAACTTTACTTGGTGTAGTGGTTAGTGTCCAGAAAGGTTTTCTGGTGTTTAGTCGGTTTAGTGGGGGGTTCCAAAATTTAACGACTACCATGGTATACTTTTGGAGATCGGGGATCTGAAAACGCACAGCCCAGTGTCCGTGTCCTTCAGAATACTTATGTTTGTTTCCCCTGACTTTAAAGTTTGTAATATATGTTTCTAATTTTCCCGTTTTGGCTTGAACAGGATTTTATCACTGGAGATAGGCATTCAACGGCCCATATCCAGAATGCTCCCTAACTCACTCCCAGAGTTCCGTTTCAGACTAAAGTTCACTTCTTGGCAAAGCATTTGAGTGGCAAGCCAACAGCTTGAGTACTCTTTTTGGCCAATCCACTCGATCGGAAGTGAGCTAAGGGTGGTTTCAAGAAGCCGGATCATTGTTTTCCGCTGATGTTGGGAGAACCAATCCTGCCTTGTGCCAACTTTGGGAACGCCCCTGAAGGTGTCGGGGTGTCTGATTTTAGGTTGAACCCCCCCCAACCAAAAAAAAATGCATTGTTTTTTTTGGTGGTGTCCCGTTCAAACCCAAGCCGAGCCTCAACAACAAGACGCGCCCAGCTATGGTAGTAGTGGATAGAGACTGCCGGCCGCATCCGAGCCTCGAATCCACTTAATCGACCTTTGGAGAGATCTAGGTCTTGGTGGTTCCCAGTGTTCCAGTTCCTTAGGTTTGTGGCTTTTTTTTGTGGGTTGAGTGGTGGTCCCTTTTTCACCCACTGAACCCAGAGCTTCCTCGGCCTTTTGTCAACGGCCGGTTTCAACACCCCGTAAAAAGGCAACGTAAAAAGCCCGTACAAAGGCCGGTTTCAACACCCCGTGAAAAGGCAGCGTAAACAACCAACCCGTGTTTAAATTCGGCCTCCGCAGCTCGAAACGGCCTTTGGACTTAGCTCTGAAAACGGACCGCGCGAGCGTTTCTGAAACGCAAGCTTTTGGGCTTCCTTTAGGGCCCCGGGGCTTGCCCCTGAACCCCTCTGAACCCCCCCCCTTAAAAAAAGGAAGGACGCCCTTCTCCCGTGGGTTTTCTTTTTTTGGTTTCTTCGGATTTGTTTGGGGCTTGTTGCTGGTTTGTTTTTCGCCCCCATCCACATCAAACTCTCTCTCTCTCTCTCTCTCTTTAAACAAGAAAAACAAATCTTATCGTTTTTGTTTTAGGAGAGGCTGGGGGTCTCGCGATAGGTGGTCTTCACCGCCAGCGCGCTAGTGGAGCTCCTCAGCATGCGCCTCTTCGACGAGGAGGGCCGAGGCGCGGCGCGCCGAATCCCGACATCGTCCGACGCGCCCGACGTCGACGGGGGTTGGCCGGCGCAGTCAAACACGAGTAACACCAGCTATGCTCCTTAGGGGGTCCTTAACCTACCTGGACCCCCAAAAGACCAATCCCTTTTTGTTGCCTTTGACCCAGAAAAAAGTGGAAAGCCAGAAAAAAGAAATCGGTCTTTTGGGGGTCCAGGTCCTTAGGGGGTTCTTAACCTAGGTCCCCCAGTAGCGCTCTTTTACCCTTTCTTGGGGGAGGAGTCGCGGAGTCGGAGTCGGAGTCAGTTGCCCAAAGCGAAACGACCAGATCTGACCTTTTGGTTTTCCAATTTTGGTCTAGTTTTAGTAAAGGCCCCAAAAGGTCTAGTCGTCCCCCTCTAGGTCCCGCACAGTGGATGGGTTGGTTCGAGGGGCGGTCTGGCTGTGTGTCGTTTTGGCCATTAGCCACGGATGCGACTATCGCAATGGGAGCGGCATGCAGCAGAACTGGTTGAAGTCGATCCGGGTTTGTGTCTAGGTCCAGCGATCGGTGCCCCTTCTTTTACCCCTTTTTTGGTTGGGAGATTCGGTTCAGCTACTAAAGTAGACGAAGGACCTAGCCCTTAAGGTTGAATCATCAGCTTGGCGTTTGTTTGGTTGTTCGGTTCTGTTCATTTTTTGGTTTGGGGGCTGCAAAAGGCAAAGCGTGTTGCTACCATACCATGGGTTGTGAAAAATAGGGAGCCCGGAAACAAGCAACAAAGAGAACGGAGATTAGGTGGCAAAGAACAAGTCTCTTGTACAAGAACTTTGGCAGAAGTCTCTATATATATATATACTAGTTGTAACCTGTACCAGTGCTATTGTACAGCGTCAAAAGTTTTTGGGACGTCCCAACTCGCCGGCAAGCATCCAGGGACTGACGTCATTGACTCTGCTTTGGTGATTTGTAATGTTTCCAGCTTGAGTTTCAAAGATAACTTGTGCCCTTTTGTGTGGCACCTCATTGACTGGAGTCATGATTTCGACTCGCAGGGTTCATCAAGTCAAAAGCTGCAGTCGGTGGTCTTGACTTTGGCAACATCATGGGGCCAGTTTGATTTGGGATTGTGCGGGGCTCCTTACTCCCTGAGTTCCTGGACTTAGTCACTTTTTGGGATTGGACTAGTTTGGTGGTAGACAAACAATTTGGACTTTTTTCGGCCAGTCGACTCACTTCCAGTTGCTTAAGATTATGTGTTTTCCTCTGGAGCTTTTTTTTTTTCCAGCGGACGAACAGCGACTGGACGATTAGGGGCCGGAAATGGTGGACATAAAAATTGGGTTGGGGTATGTCCCCCGACCACTTTTCAGGGGCTCCGACTCTTAAAAGTCATACCTGGAGTCTCCCTGACCCGAAATAAAAAGGGTTGGTCATTACCCAAAATCATGGAAAGGGTCATGGACCTATTTTTTGTTCGGGTCAGAAGGAGACAGGTAGTCAGATGCTTCTCGCTTTTCCTCGCATTCACCACGGATTTTTTCCTGAAAGACTCCACGAGTGGCACACGGCCCAAAGCAGACTTTGTTTTCCCATTTCGATCCATGATTCGCCAGCATGCGCTGCTCGGAACCGTTGGGGTGGAGAATTTGTAAAACTTTTTTTGCTCAAGAATTTGTTTTCCCTTGTTGGTGTCACAAGGAATTTATCACTATAGGACATGTTTTTTTCCAGGGGTATTAACCAAATGGAAGAAAACGAGTCCCCTTCTTTGCCTTTTCCATCTGGCAAGGTCAGTTCTTGGCCGAGCCTTCGGTTTTCCAATGGCCTTTGAGTCTACCCCCTACTCCAAATGCCCACTTTTTCTAGGGTATGTTTTGGAATACCAGGTTTTTCAAGGTAAATACCTCCTTTTCTGGTAGAGGGTCGACATGATACCCTAAAAAAAGTGGGTATTTGGAGTAGGGGGTATGTCTCAAACTGGGTGCTATAAATATCAGATAATTCATGAGTTTGCTTAAAGGAAACCAACAGGGGATGGATCATGATTTGTCCAGACGCTCTACTTGTTCGGCTGACTTAGTAAGTTGCAACGCTAACCTAGATTAGAGCCCACTTGAGCCACAATCAAATCCCGGAGATGAAGGTTAGTAAGGGACAATCGCAAAAATAAATAGCTGCAGCCGCCTTCTTAATTCTTTACATGTTTCTGGGTCGACCATTTTTGTACCGGGTTTTGATTGTGACTCACTTAAGGCCCCCCGTTCAGTGGAACTAACCTATTACTAGTAGATTTTGATGCAGGCTGCAAACCACTTCCGAACATCCAAGTACCCTCCCGCCAATTCACATGGAACCTGATGTTTAGAGGGTCCTGGTTTGGACCATCCTCCTTTTAAAGAGATATCACCAGATATCACAAGTCTTAAATTTGCCTAAGGAAACCAACAGGCCTCCTTCTTCCCGAATGTTAGCTTCCATTTGCTGAACTGAATATGTTGTTATGTCCCCTAGTTGCTTCTAAACGGAATCGATATCACTATTGGTATTTTTTCCAGGGGGCGAAGAAGGTGTTTCATTGGTTCGGTTCAGTTTTTCGGGCAACCCTCAGTTGATAATTTGGTTTGGGGCTTTGAATTTTCTGGATCTTATGATTGAGGCAACAAAAGGCTTCCCCAAAAAAGTGGACAGGCTTCCCCAAAAGGAAAAAGCCTTCCAGAACTCAGCTTCCATGATTGTTGGAGGGAGGGTTTTTCTGGGACGAAAGTTCAACCTGCCAGGATGTTTTGGCTGGAAACAGCTCCAAAAAACCTCTGCAAACCTGGAAACCGTCAAAGCAACCTGCCCGCCGCAGGGGAGGAGGATGGCAGGAAGCCTCAGCGAGACATCCGAGGCTTTGTCCAAGCTCCTTTTGCGGACAGATCGCCAGAAGCCACCAGAGTCACTTTGGATTCCAAGAAAATTCCAACTTAAAAATGGTTGGTACATTGCAACCCACCAATTGTGGTCAAGGTGAAGTTAGCGAAATATCCAACTGTTTTATGAGTAGTTTGAGGGTCCAGAGGCACCTTTTTGTCAGTCTCAGAAGCTGGTGTTCCTTCATGTTGCATTTCAACCCAAAACACTTAGGGTCGGCAGTTCGACCAAAAAAGATCCGAGCTCGCCTCGAGTTTGGCAAAGGGCCCCACTTCAAGCGCTGAAAACGCTTTGCCCAAGCAACCCTGTCGTCCAACACCAAACTTGTTCTGTTTCATCAACAGATTACATGCCAATTGTTGGGACCCGAGCCGTAATGTTGGCACTTGATTAATCAACCGGCACCCATTGTTTAGGGGGACCAGAATAATTGAAAGTTGTTTTGCCCGGGGGGAAATTCCAAAAAAACAACTCCACAAATCAATTAAACAAAAAAAACATCCCCCCAAACAATCACCCAAATCCATGTTGACCCAAAAATCAATTGGTTGCTCAACCACAGAGCCGAAAGCCAGCTGAAACCTCTGAAATTTTAAACCATCCCCAGCCCTGAAACTCTTTATTTAACCGTGTTGTTAAAAAAAAAAACAAAAAACAAAAAAAACATGCAAAACAAATAAATCAGGACAAGGGTACTCACAGACCCCACTGAACCACAATAATGTAATTCTTTTAGGGGACCACATTAATTGCAAGCCCCCAGCCCCCCCTCCCAGAAAATAAACTATAAGTTGCTTTACTCAAAAGCATTCCCCTTTCAATTGGTGGCCCACTTGCTTAAAAGCATCCCCTTTCAATTGGTGGCCCACTTGCTTAAAAGCATCCCCTTTCAATTGGTGGCACACCCATTTGAATGGCTACAGAAAGAACTGAAAGGGAAGTGGTTGCAATACTAAAGTAGTATTCCAGAAAGTCTGCTCAGGAAGAAGTGGTTGCAATACTAAAAAAAAATGCAAAAAAAGTGACTGCAATACTAAAGTAGAATTGCAAAAAGGAAGTGGCCGCAATGCAAAGTAGAATTGGGCCCCAAATTCCTCCATTGTTTGGACGTCCCAAAAGTGAGCCCCCAGTATTTTGGCGCCTCCATTGTTCAGGGGGGGGCCTTTGTTAATCATTATGGACAGAAAAAAGCGTCACATATATTACATATATTGGGTTTCCATGGATATACGTTTTTTCCTGTTCGTCCAACCCCAAAATTGTTGTGTTTTCTCAAAATACGTTTTATGTGTTTTGTGTTATCAACAGATTACAGGATTTGTGTGGCTTGGACCCAGAAAAAGCGGCTTGCGGGTCGACATAAAGGAAATCTCCACACGGCTGGGGGTCAGCCACCGCTGCGAGCGGATTCGAGGCCCAAACCTTGATTTGAGCTTGGCGATGTTCGCCTCCGGTTTTGGCCGGGGGCTGAGAGACAGTTGAAGGGTTAGTACTACTGTGGATGGACGAAATCCTGCACCACCTAAGAAACTATGGGATAATGATTCCCTTGTAAATACCAACAAACAACGGTTTCCCATGGTTTTAATTTGGTGCAGGATTTTGTCCATCCACAGTATGTGCTTGGTGGTTCCCTGCCGCTAAGTTTTCTTCCCCAGAATTAGCTCCCCTTTTTGTTTTTTTTTGCTTTTTTGGGGTCCCTTTGTTTTCCACGAACCAGCCGAAAAAGATATTTTTTACTGGGGTCGGATTTTTCCAGCCAAGTTTTCTAGAGTTTGTTTTTTTTTCGTGGTGGCTTGTGGCCACGGACGCATGTTCGTGGCCAATTGGACCCGGTGGCTGACCCAACGACAGGTCAACTCGACTTTTTCCATCCACTGAGCAAGTGGGATATTGCCTACCCCCGATTCAAATCCAAATACCCCGTGTGTGTTTTTTTCGTCGGCATGGTTTGAAAAACCGATCAGTTTTCCATGGTAAATACCGATCCCTTTTTAAGTAGAGGGTCAACACATGGGGGCAGTTCCAAGCAGAAGTTGACACTCCTTTCGTATCAGGTGTAGATTGCGACTCGAAGAAGCAGGGTCGATGTCAAAGTGGGTTGTACTCACTGTTCCTTGACTTCAGTCAACTTTTCGGAAGACCATTTGTGTGGTAAACACGAAGTGATAGTTTGTTATTTGTTGCTTTGATTTGCTTTGATTTGCTTGGCTTGGTTTGTGTTGTTTGTGTTTGTTTGCTTGCTTGTTTGCTTGCTTGCTTGGCTTGCTTGCTTGGCTTGCTTGCTTGCTTGCTGGCTTGCTTGCTTGCTTGGCTTCCTTGGCTTGGCTTGCTTGCTTGCTTGTTTGCTTGCTTGCTTGGCTTGCTTGGTTTGCTTGCTTGCTTGGCTTCCTTGGCTTGGCTTGCTTGCTTGCTTGTTTGCTTGCTTGCTTGGCTTGCTTGCTTGCTTGCTTGCTTGCTTGCTTGCTTGCTTGCTTGCTTGCTTGCTTGCTTGCTTGCTTGCTTGCTTGCTTGCTTGCTTGCTTTCTTGCTTACTGGCTTGCTTGCTTGCTTGGCTTCCTTGGCTTGGCTTGCTTGCTTGCTTGCTTGCTTGCTTGCTTGCTTGCTTGCTTGCTTGCTGGCTTGCTTGGCTTGCTTGGCTTGCTTGGCTTGCTTGCTTGCTTGCTTGCTTGGCTTGCTTGGCTTGCTTGGCTTGCTTGCTTGCTTGCTTGCTTGCTTGGCTTGCTTGGTTTACTTGCTTGCTTGCTTGCTTGCTTTGCTTGCTTGCTTGCTTGCTTGCTTGGCTTGCTTGCTTGCTTGCTTGCTTGCTTGCTTGCTTGCTTGCTTGCTTGCTTGCTTGGCTTCCTTGGCTTGGCTTGCTTGCTTGCTTGTTTGCTTGCTTGCTTGTTTGCTTGCTTGCTTGGCTTGCTTGCTTGGCTTGCTTGCTTGCTTGCTGGCTTGCTTGGCTTGCTTGCTTGGCTTGCTTGCTTGGCTTGCCTTGCTTGCTTGCTTGGCTTGCTTGGCTTGCTTGGCTTGCTTGCTTGCTTGGCTTGCTTGCTTGCTTGGCTTGCTTGCTTGCTTGCTTGCTTTGCTTGCTTGCTTGCTTTGCTTGCTTGCTTGGCTTGCTTGGCTTGCTTGGCTTGCTTGGCTTGCTTGCTTGCTTGCTTGCTTGCTTGCTTGGCTTGCTTGCTTGCTTGCTTGCTTGCTTGCTTGGCTTGCTTGCTTGCTTGCTTGGCTTGGGCTTGCTTGCTTGCTTGGCTTGCTTGGCTTGCTGGCTTGGCTTGGCTTGCTTGCTTGTTTTGCTTGCTTGCTTGCTTGCTTGGCTTGGCTTGCTTTGCTTGCTTGCTTGCTTGCTTGCTTGCTTGCTTGCTTGCTTGCTTGCTTGCTTGCTTGCTTGCTTGCTTGCTTGCTTTGCCTTGCTTGCTTGGCTTGCTTGCTTGGCTTGCTTGCTTGCTTGGCTTGCTTGCTTGCTTGGCTTGCTTGCTTGCTGGCTTGCTTGCTTGCTTGGCTTGCTTGCTTGCTTCCTTGCTTGCTTGCTTGGCTTGCTTGGCTTGCTTGGCTTGCTTGGCTTGCTGGCTTGCTTGCTTGGCTTGCTTGCTTGCTTGGCTTGCTTGCTTGCTTGTTTGCTTGCTTGGCTTCCTTGGCTTGGCTGGCTTGCTTGCTTGCTTGGCTTCCTTGGCTTGGCTTGCTTTCTTGTTTGTTTGCTTGCTTGCTTGGCTTGCTTGCTTGCTTGGCTTGCTTGCTTGCTTGCTTGCTTGCTTGCTTGCTTGCTTGCTTGCTTGCTTGCTTGCTTGCTTGCTTGCTTGCTTGCTTGCTTGCTTGCTTTGCTTGCTTGCTTGGCTTGCTTGCGCTTTCTTGCTTACTGGCTTGCTTGCTTGCTTGGCTTCCTTGGCTTGGCTTGCTTGCTTGCTTGTTTGCTTGCTTGCTTGCTTGGCTTGCTTGCTTGCTGCTTGCTTGCTTGCTGGCTTGCTTGCTTGCTTTGCTTGCTTTGCTTGCTTTGCGCTTCCTTGCTTGCTGCTTGCTTGCTTGCTTGCTTGCTTGCTTGCTTGCTTGCTTGCTTGGCTTGCTTGCTTGCTTGCTTGCTTGCTTGCTTGCTTGCCTTGCTTGCTTGCTTGCTTGCTTGCTTGCTTGCTTGCTTGCTTGCTTGCTTGCTTGCTTGCTTGCTTGCTTGCTTGCTTGCTTGCTTGCTTGCTTGCTTGCTTGCTTGCTTGCTTCCTTGCTTGCTTGCTTGCTTGCTTGCTTGCTTCTTGCTTGCTTGCTTGCTTGCTTGCTTGGCTTGCTTGCTTGCTTGCTGGCTGCTTGCTTGCTTGGCTTGCTTGGGCTTGCTTGCTTGCTTGCTGGCTTGCTTGGCTTGCTTGCTTGGCTTGCTTGCTTGTTTGGCTTTTGCTTCTTGCTTGCTTGCTTGGCTTGCTTTGGCTTGCTGGCTTGCTTGGCTTGCTTGGCTTTTTATTGGCTTGCTTGCTTGTTTGCTGGCTTGCTTGCTTGCTTGCTTTTGGCTTGGCTTCTTGGCTTGGCTTGCTTGGCTTGCTTGGCTTGCTTGGCTTGCTTGGCTTGCTTGGCTTCTTGCTTGGCTTGCTTGCTTGCTTGCTTGCTTGGCTTGCTTGGCTTGCTTGCTTGCTTGCTTGCTTGCTTGCTTGCTTGCTTGCTTGGCTTGCTTGCTTGGCTTGCTTGGCTTGCTTGGCTTGCTTGGTTGGCTTGCTTGGCTTGCTTGCTTGCTTGCTTGGCTTGCTTGGCTTGCTTGGCTTGCTTGCTTGCTTGGCTTGCTTGCTTGCTTGCTTGCTTGCTTGCTTGCTTGCTTGCTTGCTTGCTTGCTTGCTTGCTTGCTTGCTTGCTTGCTTGCTTGCTTGCTTGCTTGCTTGCTTGCTTGCTTGCTTGCTTGCTTGCTTGCTTGCTTGCTTGCTTGCTTGCTTGCTTGCTTGCTTGCTTGCTTGCTTGGCTTGCTTTCTTGCTTACTGGCTTGCTTGCTTGCTTGGCTTCCTTGGCTTGGCTTGCTTGCTTGTTTGCTTGCTTGCTTGGCTTGCTTGCTTGGCTTGCTTGCTTGCTGGCTTGCTTGGCTTGCTTGGCTTGCTTGCTTGCTTGGCTTGCTTGGCTTGCTTTGCTTGCTTGCTTGCTTGCTTGCTTGGCTTGGCTTGCTTGCTTGCTTGCTTGCTTGCTTGCTTGCTTGCTTGCTTGCTTGCTTGCTTGGCTTTGCTTGCTTGCTTGCTTGCTTGCTTGCTTGCTTGCTTGCTTGCTTGCTTGCTTGGCTTGCTTGCTTGCTTGCTTGGCTTGCTTGCTTGGCTTGCTTGCTTGGCTTGCTTGCTTGCTTGGCTTGCTTGCTTGCTTGCTTGCTTGCTTGCTTGCTTGGCTTGCTTGCTTGGCTTCCTTGCTTGCTTGCTTGGCTTGCTTGGCTTGCTGGCTTGCTTGCTTGCTTGCTTGGCTTGCTTGCTTGCTTGGCTTGCTTGCTTGTTTGCTTGCTTGCTTGCTTGCTTGGCTTGCTTGCTTGGCTTCCTTGGCTTGGCTTGCCTGCTTGCTTGGCTTGCTTGGCTTGCTTGCTTGGCTTCCTTGGCTTGGCTTGCTTGCTTGCTTGTTTGCTTGCTTGCTTGGCTTGCTGGCTTGCTTGCTTGCTTGGCTTGCTTGCTTGCTTGCTTGTTTGCTTGCTTGCTTGCTTGCTTGGCTTGCTTGCTTGGCTTCCTTGGCTTGGCTTGCCTGCTTGCTTGGCTTGGCTTGCTTGCTTGCTTGTTTGCTTGCTTGCTTGCTTGGCTTGCTTGCTTGGCTTGCTTGCTTGCTTGCTGGCTTGCTTGCTTGCTTGGCTTGCTTGCTTGGCTTCCTTGCTTGGCTTGCTTGGCTTGCTTGGCTTGCTTGCTTGCTTGCTTGCTTGCTTGGTTTGCTTGCTTGCTTGCTTGCTTGCTTGCTTGCTTGCTTGGCTTGCTTGCTTGCTTGCTTGCTTGCTTGCTTGCTTGCTGGCTTGCTGGCTTGCTGGCTTGCTGGCTTGCTGGCTTGGCTTGCTTGCTTGGCTTGCTTGCTTGCTTGCTTGCTTGCTTGGCTTGCTTGCTTGCTTGGTTTGCTTGCTTGCTTGCTTGCTTGCTTGTTGTTTTGTTGTTTGTTTTTTCTCTTTTAAAGCACCTGTCAAATGGGTGTGTGTATGTGTCCTGGTGTTTGTTGTTTTGTCCTTTGTTTCAACAGAAACGCACGGCCATCCAATTCCTGAGGTTTTTGGGTTGTGAGGCTCGGAGTGACTGGGGTGTGCCGTGGCTCAAATTAAGTGGAATACCCCAAATGGCACTTTGGTATATGGAAACAAAGCTTACCTTTTAAAAACACAACTTTTCTCAACTTTTTGGGTAACATGGGCTATATGTCTGTAAAAGGTTAACTTCCCCAATCCTTGGAGTTTTAAGGGGTAAGAAAGACTATCACTTGCGTAACCCCAGCTGTTTCATTTTGAGCCATACCCATCTTTAAAAGCTGAAGTCGGAGACTTTTAGCGGAGACTTTCGGAAATCGGACAACCCAGTTTTGAGATGCTTTCCAGCACCCAAACAGGCACATGTTGAAGTGCGGTTGGGCTCTGCCGGGGTCAACCAGAGAATGTGGATCCACCGCTGAAATGGTCCATTTGCTGAAATGTTTTGTTTTTTTTTCCCCCTCCTTTTGTTTTCCCTTGTTGGTTTCAAGGGAATCTATTTCACTACTAGACATATGTTGCCATGTTTATTTCCAGGGCGAAAAAGTAAACGCACGAAACGGTCCAAACAGAATTGTCGCGACTGTTATTGTTTGGGGGTGGGTCCAACGTGTACGACTATCCAGCCACCACATCCCCCTAAGGACCCAAAAAACGCGGCGTTTTTTTGGTGGGGGGGCGGGAGGTGGGGGGTTGGGAGGGGTAATTCCACTTGAGTGCTATTGGGTTGGATCTGTAGACTTTCACTTTTTGGTTGAAATCAAATTGTTTTTTTCCATTCACCCGCAAAAAGTGAGAAAGGCTTTTTGCAGAGGGGGCGTGACAGCACCCGAGTTCAGATCAGATCCGACACGCGACGCCTTGGTGTGTTGAGCGGAAGAGGTGAGGCGTTTTTCGCGGGAATCAATTGGGACCCCGGGCTCCATGGGACTGTTTACCTGGACTCTCAAAGCATCGTCTCAAGAATCTTAACCCCGGATCTAAGTAGAACCCCTGGTGGATTAATCGGGGGGTGTCCCGATTCTTTTAGTGGGGATTCAGACCACTTTTGGAGGAAACACCCCCCTAATAATGGGACGGGTTTATTGATCCTGGGTCAACATTCGGGTCACAGCTCCTTGGGAGCGCTGGGCTGTTTCACGGGTTGGTGCTCTCGTTTTGCGCTTTCTTCATTCGCGTGTTTGCATTAGTCTCAGGGCGCCAACAGCCCAGGCTGCAGAAGCCACGGTGAGTGTTTGATGCCGACGAGTTCCAAGCGCATTTGGAACAAGATGGAATAAGACCCAGTTGCCCAGTGGTGCCCTTTTTTAAACAATTTTGGGCAGGGTTCCCCTTTCAAGTCAACCAACCGGGGAAACACAACCCATGGCCACTGGGCAGCGGAGAAGACATCAGGCCGATCACTTCACAATCCCAGCTGAAATCCATGCAAACCGATGGGTTTCGTAGCCAAAGCCTCCCGATGTGAAGGACGATAGATCGATGAGTTTGGGATCTGGTATCCCCCTACTCCAAATACCCACTTTTTCTAGGGTATTTTTGGAAAACCTGGGTTTCCACGGTAAATACCTCCTTTCTTAGTAGAGGGTCGACATGATACCCCCAAAACATGTGGGTATTTGGAGTAGGGGGATGGGTCAGAGAGCAATTGGGGAGTCTCCACACATTGGGCCAAATCCCTTCGCAGGATTTTTCCGTTCTGCATAGTTTCTGGCGAGCTCAAAAGGAACGAGCTCAGCTTGAAAGGCCCTTTTCTTGGGGATCTGCTTTTGGACATATCGCAAAAATCACAGGCTCGTTGGTATTTACGTTGGGGAATCCTTCCTTCTGTTGGGTTGCTGCACGGCGCGAAATGGAGACTTTGCCCATGCACAGTTCTCAGTGGTTCAGTGGCGCCGAGTCCCTTTTTCCAACTTTTTTTTTGGTGCCTGCCCTAAAAATGGTCCAAGCCCCAAAAATGGGTTCCCTGGTTTTCTCCAGGGTCACTGAACTGAGGGGGGTCAACGCTTCCTACTCCAAATAGCCTCCTTTTTTAGGGTATGATTGGTCGACCCTCAACTAAAAAAGGGATCGGTATTTACCACCGAAAACCGATCGGTCTTCCCCAAAAAATACCAACTAAAACACAGCGCCGCGGAAAAAAACCCTGAAAAAACGTGGGTATTTGGAGTAGAGTCGGTAGAAGTTCCTTACAACCTGTGTGGCACAAAACGGCCGGGGAAATTTGGAGGTGACGGGGGTTCGGGGGGTCAACTGCTCCGGGGCGCGGGGCAGCCTGCTCCTTGAGCCTGAGGCGCTCGCGGCACACCTGCGCCTTTGGCCAGTGAGGCAGGGCGGTGTTGGCTAAAAACAACCCCCACGAAAAAACTCATTTAGAAAACAAGAGACGCTGAAAAAAAACCCTGAACCCCCGCAAGCTCCAACTACCCGCATTTTTTTTTTGAGGGGGGGGGGCATGTGTTTGGGAAAGCCGATGGGTTTTCCAGGGTACATACTCATCCCAATTTTTAGTAGAGGGTCGACATCATAGCCTAAGAAAAGAGGGCATTGGGTGTAAGGGGTCTGGCCTCCTTTCCTTAAGACTTGGTGGTTCCCAGCGAATCGTCCGGTACCTTAGGTTGTTAGTTGCTTTAGTGGGGAAATTCCGAATTTAACCCACTACAAGTTAAACTTTTAGCAGGGGATCTGAAAACGGACAGCCCAGTTTAAGGGAATCCGTAGCTTTCTTAATACCCCTCAAATGATTCCCAGCAAGTTTAAGGGAACTTCCCTGAACTTCCCTTTCCTGGCTTCAATCATAACTTTTCGGCGAGGCAAATCATTTGGGGAGCAACTGTGGCGTTCTTTGATACCATATGGGGCAACCAAAGGAGTCTCCTCAGGTTCGGTCGATCCATGCACAAGAGAACTGGTTTTTCTGAAAGGGACGCCCATCGAAAAGCCCCGGTTTTCTCTCTTTTTTTGTTGTTGCGGTGTTTATGATAAACTACAAGTCATGTCAAACTGCCAAGTCCCCTCCGTTTTGAGGGGGCGCTCCTTTTCGCAACGGCTTACCTGTTTCAGTCCCCGCGGCCTTCTCAGACTCGCCACAGGGGAGGACCTGAGAAGATGTTTTGATTCCGTGGTTGAGGGAAAACCAACATACCCACTCCAAACACCCGCGAAAAGTTTGGGGGTAGTGTTTGAGAAACACCATTTTTTTTTGTATGGTAAAAATACCTCTGTTTTTAGTGGGTCGACATCGTACCCTAAAAGAAGGTATTGGGAGTAAGGGGTAGCAAGAGTCAAAATAACTTTGACAGAAACAGGAGAACTTAACCAAAATAGGCTATGTCTGAGTTTTATAGCTCTAGAAAAGTAGGAAAAAACATGAGCCATCATGAAAGCTCGGGTTTCCAACACTGAACTGGGTTGATACCAATTCCCCTACATTGCCCAAAGGACCCAGAATAGGGTTAGCCTCCAAAAGGAGGACACCAAAACGTCGAAATCCACCAGTTGTTTTATCGTTCGCATCTTCGGTTTCTGCGCAATACGGGCCTCGCCCCTGAACTTGTTCGCCCAAGCCTTGGAAAACTGGAATCAAAGGCTGATTGTACGGCTCCATATGCGAACCCACGGCTCCATATGGGACCCCAAAGGGCGACAAACATTTTCTATAATTCAGTCCTAGGCCATATAAGCAACGGATAATTAACCCATAAACTAGGGGTTCATACCAAGGATTCATATATGGACCTCATCCAGCCTTGGACGGAAGGAACATGGCAGGTCCAGGGCTGCGTTTTGAGACACCCAAATTTGGGTCTCGCCCTTTGAGCGAAATGGGTCTTGTTTAAACGTTGCAACCTCTGCCAACCGAAGTTGAGTCAACACGTGGTACGACCAAAAGCATGTATAGAATCAACCGGGATATCCGAACCTATTTCTTGAACACTCATATACACTTTGGCTACATGCATACTGTATTAAGGGAACATCGGTTTGTAACAAGGGTGCCCTAGGTAGTCCTTGTCCTTTACCATGGTCAACCCTGATGTCACCATGACCGTATGTGCTTCCCCCGTACCAACTCAAAAAAGGCACACCCAGACGGGAGTCTTGACCAAGGAGTCTTGTGGCGACCACATGGCCAAGGGTGCAGCCGTTGGATGCCATGGGTTGATTCGAGTGGTAGATCCAGCCCGTTTTGGGTCTTCTTTCTTGGGTTTGGGTAATGTGTTCACCTCCTTGCTCATTAAAAAAAAATAAAAAATCTGAGGTGTTCCCCTCCAAAAGGGATGAATTTTCACAGGTACACCCTCCCCCAATGACTGAGCTGGGGTGTATTGAGCCGGGATCAACATTCTCTGAATCATAACGACCTCCCACCGAATTCGCTCCAAGTGGGTGGTTTCATTTGTGGAGTAGCCCAAGCACCGCAAGTTTCGGGTTGGTGAAATCTTATGATTCCGCCCAGACCTTCCGGCGGAAAGTTCTGATCCGCGTTTCTGGTCTTGCAAGCGGATTCGTATGGTCAAACCCCCGAGGCATCGCTCGAAGAGTCGGTTTTCAGAAAGGTCGCTGTCGAAGAGTCGGTTCCCAGGGCCAGTTCTGGGAGCGTCCTGTCAGGTTCAAGATCCAACCCCCACCCCCCCCAACCCCCCCCAACACCACCCAACCCCAACACCACCCAACCCCACCCCCCCCAACCCCCCCCAACACCACCCAACCCCAACCCCCCCCCCCCCCACCCCTCCCCCACCCTCCCCACCCCCAACCTCCCCACCCCTCAACCTCCCCACCCCCCCCCCAACCCCCCCCCCCCGGGATTAATCTTATTTGGGGACCCTCGGCGGACAATAAGCGCATATTCATAGCACCTTAAAAAGGGGGTCGGTTTAATTTAAAGGAGAACCAAAGGATACCAAGCCTATTCGTAGCCTAAACAAGAAGCAACACCCAAATGCCAGCCAGACAGATAGGAACAGTTCAAAGGCAGGATCTTTGCTGAAGCCGTATCTTGAACTGTAAATGATTGCGATTTCTTGAGATACATGTTTGTATCCCCAATTCGTCTTTGTCAAGCTGGTGCGCCATGAAGCTGGATGTCCTCTTGCCCAGTGGAGCTGGGTTCTCCACAGAAGTCTCGCCGGCGAAGCGGCGCATCAGCGAGCTCGAGGCTGCAGCGCAGCAGCATTTCCAGCGCCGCTTGAAGCTCAGTGCGAAAGGCCGGCAGCTCGATTTGACAGCCACGCTGAGTGAGGCTGGCTTGCAAGATGGGGACGTGGTGCTTGCGATTGTGCAGCTTGGCAAACTGGCTGCATCTAATAGAGCATTTGCTTTGTGTGGCCATGGGCCCGAAATTGTGACCTGGGGTGATCCAAAGTGTGGCGGAGACAGCAGCCAGGTGAAAGAGCAAGTGAGGAGCATCCAGCACATCCAAGCCTCCAACTCTGCTTTTGCTGCCATTCTTGAATCTGCGGCTGTTGTGACCTGGGGTCATCCAAACTTTGGCGGAGACAGCAGCCAGGTGCAAGAGCAGCTCAGGAACGTCCAGCACATCCAAGCAACTGCTCGGGCTTTTGCTGCCATTCTGGAATCTGGGGCTGTTGTGACCTGGGGTGATCCAGAATTTGGGGCAGACAGCAGCCAGGTGCAAGAGCAGCTGAGGAACGTCCAGCGCATCCAAGCAACTCGCGTGGGTGCTTTTGCTGCCATTCTGGAATCTGGGGCTGTTGTGACCTGGGGTCATCCAGAATTTGGGGCAGACAGCAGCCAGGTGCAAGAGCAGCTGAGGAACGTCCAGCGCATCCAAGCAACTCGCGTGGGTGCTTTTGCTGCCATTCTTGAATCCGGGGCTGTTGTGACCTGGGGTAGTCCACACCATGGCGGAGACAGCAGCCAGGTGCAAGAGCAGCTGAGGAACGTCCAGCACATCCAAGCAACTGGTGGTGCTTTTGCTGCCATTCTTGAATCCGGGGCTGTTGTGACCTGGGGTAGTCCACACCATGGCGGAGACAGCAGCCAGGTAAAAAAACAGCTGAGGAAGGTCCAGCACATCCAAGCAACTCACTCTGCTTTTGCCGCCATTCTTGAGTCTGGGACTGTCGTGACCTGGGGTGATCCAGAAAGGGGCGGAGACAGCAGCCAGGTGCAAGAGCAGCCGAGGAACGTCCAGCACATCCAAGCAACTGGTGGTGCTTTTGCTGCCATTCTTGAATCCGGGGCTGTTGTGACCTGGGGTAGTCCACACTATGGCGGAGACAGCAGCCAGGTGCAAGAGCAGCTCAGGAACGTCCAGCGCATCCAAGCAACTCGCGTGGGTGCTTTTGCTGCCATTCTTGAATCTGGGACTGTCGTGACCTGGGGTCATCCAGAGTACGGTGGAGACAGCAGCCAGGTGCAAGAGCAGCTGAGGAAGGTCCTCCACATCCAAGCAACTGCTGGTGCTTTTGCTGCCATTCTTGAATCTGGGGCAGTTGTGACCTGGGGTCATTCAGAGTATGGTGGAGACGGCAGCCGAGTGCAAGAGCAGCTGAGCTTGTAATCGGGGGCTGTTGTGACATAGTCGGCGCAAATTCCCGACACGCCATGAGCAGATTCTGAGAACGAGCGCATGAGGCTCAGCCATCAAAAGATAGGAGGGATAGTCGCATGTGGATTCTCAAACTTTCTGGCGCGTTAAGTAGGGAATGACAACAAGGCATACCATTTGGCTGTGGCTCAAAAAACCGGAATTCCAAAATGGAACCCTGGTAAGTGGAAGCATGGACCAAAACCTGCGGTTTGCCCCTCCTGTTTACTTTTGAGCCACACCCATTTTCCCCCATTTGCAGGTCCAGGATCCAAGTGAAAATCTCACTTCCTGAGTTCATCGGACTTTTTGGGAAGACAACGAGTTTCCCGGTGTTGGGCATGAACCCTTTGGGAGATTCCCGAATAACGGAAATTATAGGGGCTGGTTTTTCTCGGGGTCATTCCAGCCCATTCCCTGCTCAGATTCTTGCATTCCGAAGCGCCGTACCAGGGGTGGCAAGCCCCATTTACTAGTGCCCCCTATTCCAAATTCCAGCTTTTTTTGGCTTTTGTTGAAAAACCTGGGTTTTTCAGGGTGAATACCTCCTTTTCTTAGTAGAGGATCGACATCATACCCGAAAGAAAGGGAGGGTGTTGAGTGTCAGGGGGTGAAACTCTATGACTGTTTCTCTCGGGGTTTCTCCTGGGGTTGTCGGTTCGGCCACTTTCTGTACCAACAGGTAAGGGAATCTCTTTTGAATCATGACTCTTTGCTATAGCACCCCGTATGGCTTTTTTTTTCCGGTCAAACTCCCGTATTTGCCCGTATTTGCCCGTACGGCCATGTTTTTTTTCCCGGTCATTTGCGTAAATCATCCGTATGAAACCCATATTTGTTCGACATGTACCCAGAGGCTCCAATTCGATTCATTTAGGGCCTTCAAACAACCTGGTTTTGAGACCGGGTCCCAACCACCGATTCCCGGGGTGTCTAATGGAGGGTCGGGTTTTCCATTGAAAGCCGCAGGAGCCTCTGGGAAGTTGAAAAAAGGCCGTAGCAATCCGTATGGCCTTTGTTTTCTCGGTTAACGGCGTATGCCAAAAAAAGAAACGGCCATATGGGGTCCCAGGTTTGCTTTATGTTTTTTGGGTCACGGATCTTTGGAACAATAAGTTTTTGGTTGCAACAGCTGGCATTTTTCGCATTGGACCCACAAGAAGTTGTCTTCAATAGCAACCAAGGGAGTGATAGTTAATATTTTTTTCCGGGTTCAGTTCCTCTGAGGGGCATCAGGATTAGTCCGAAGTTGGCATGTTGTTTCTTGGTGGCTCCCAGCCAGCCCCTTAGCTTTTTAGCCTTTAGTGTTTAGTGGTGGTTTCCATTCAATCCACTAAAAGTTAAACTTTTAGCAGGGGATCTGAGGGCAGCCCAGGTTTCTGTTGTTTGTTTGCTTCACGACGTTTTTTCAAGGACCCGGAATCGGAGGGTTTCGTCCAAAAAGACCTTAGGGTCTTGAGGTCTCAATTGAAAGAAACCAAGACAAGTTGAGGGGAGGGCTTGGATCTTGTTGCCAACATACAATTCGTACCTGGCCCCGTATGGATGTTGTTTTTTGGACAAACTCCCGTATTTGGCCGTGTTTGCCCGTATGGCCATGTTTTTCAGGTCATTTGCGTAAATAACTCGTATGAAGCCCATTTTTGTTCGACATGTTGTTGAAAAAAAGCCGTAAACATCCGTATGGCCGCTTTTTCCGGTCAAAGGCGTATGACCAAGAAAAAGAGGCCATATGGGGTCCCAGGTACCCATTACAATTGGGTGTCAGTTTGTGTTGTTTTTGTTGGGGTATCGCTAAACCACCCTGCAACAGTTTTATTTTTGGGGTTCTCACCAAAAAAATCAACAACAAAACAAGGGGTACCAAAGACCACCCCCATATGGTGGACTATAGGGCCTATTTAGCAACCTCCTTGATTTCAGGTAATTATTGGTAGTTTGTAGTTTGGTGCTATTTGCAACTTATGCTCTAACCCTGGGGTTCAATTCCCATCAACACTATGGTTGGTTAGGTCCATACAAAACAAAAACAACACATTGTTAACCTAAAACCACAACATGTCCTTCAACTTGGGTTCCACTTGCAATCAACTTGGTTCCAATCGCAATTCCTATGGCATCAAAACTATGGTTGGGTCCAGTAAACAAAAAAAATACATAGTTTATTTTATGCAACTAGAGTTCCAAGCCGTTCATATGGGTATGGGTCAAAATGAATCCACCAGAGGACCGCAGGTTTCGTCCAGGTTTCCATTTACCACGGCAACCCATTTTGGGGACCTATATTTGACCCACAGCCATACTCATAAAATTCAACCTAAACCACCGCAACCCCCCTCGGCCAACCCCAAACACAGGGGGGGGGGGTTGAATTAATCCTAGACAAACCAGACGACGAGCCGGATGGCTATAGGTCAAAAAAAAGTACCCAAAATGGAAGGAACCATGGACTAAAACCTGCGGTCCCCTGGAAATTTAATTTTGACTCATACCCATACGGGGGGCGTTTTGGGCACGGCCCAAATTCTCCATATGCCACTGCAGGATGTTGGAGAAGCCTTGTATTGGCTGCTCGATCCTCTTGAAGCTTATGCAGCGCATTGGTTCCCTAGTGTAGCATTACAAGCCAAGGATCTCGGTGCCTTTTTGTATGACGCCATCCGCGCTCAATCCTATGGAGGTTTTTTATGCAAAAAGCCATGCCCTGATTGTCCTACTTCGCCCTGCTCCTCCTGCCCCTCCACCTGCCCCTCCTGCCCTCCAGCCCCTCCACCTGCCCCTCCTGCCCCACCTGCCCCACCTGCCCCTCCTGCCCCTCCTGCCCCTCCACCTGCCCCTCCACCTGCCCCTCCACCCGCCCCCCCCACCCGCCCCCGGCCCCCCTGCCCCCCGCCCCCCTGCCCCCCGCCCCCCCCCCACACCACGAAGCCCTCAGCGCCAGGCGCTTCCTCCCAGCAGCGGCACCCCCCCAGTGCTGCGCCCCAGCTTCCAGGAGCAGATCCTGAGGCGAAACCGCGAAACGGATCGCGTGAGGCGACCTGCGCGGATTGCGTGTACTGTGTGTGCGTGTATGTTTTGTTGGTTCGATGTTTCTTTGATTTCTTGTTCTGTTATATTTTTCCTAAAAATGTGGTTTTGATGTTTTTTTCTCCCTCACCCGGATGTGTTGGTGTTTCTTCGTGCTTCTTTTTCGATTCTTCGATTTGTGTCTTTGATTTGATTCCCCAACAGCTGGACTTTCATCTGCTGAAATGAACTTGTTCCTGTTTTTCCTGGTTCTAAAGGAAATTGGGGAAAAAACAACTTCTGGGAGAAAAATATATCATGATTCGGGAAACACATGTCTCATGTTTTCCAGGGGTCAAAAAAGCAAATGGAAGATAGTCACCATTCTTTACTGTAAGTGGAAATGCGGGGTCAAATCAACACGTGCTGGCTCTTCGGTTTGACGAGTTGATCCTTTTAGCCTGGTGGAAAACGGTTTGTCTGAGCTCTAAAATAGATATAGTTTCAGTTTGGGTCCCTTGAACCCAACAGAAAGCCTCAAAGCAACGCGCCCCGAAACGACAAGAGCTCCCACATGCTGGAGGAAAATACAGATAGGAGGTTCAGGGTCACTTTTAGTGACACCAAGGGAATGTCCTTCAAAGTGAAGAAGCAGTAATCTTCCATTTCCGTACAAATCGCGTTCGTGTCCACTGTTGGTTTTAACCGGCATCTATCACGACTGAACAGAATTGTTCTTTATTCCAGTGGGCTTAAGCAATGGGATGTAATGGGATCATTCCCATGTTGGCACAGATTTTGGGCGAGTGGTAAATGTTTACTCGACTTGTTCATTAGGGGCATTAGAATTGCCTTCCTCTTGGAATTCAAATATTTCACTTAAAACAGGGGACACCACACAATGGATGGATATGGATGGGGAAACCTTGTGGTTTCCCTTTAAACCAACCAAGAAAAGAGGGTATCCTAAAAGCCGGATATCCTTACAAAAAGACAATTCCAGTCAGATCGGGGCTAGTTTGGGTCATCTCCAAGTCACCTCCAAGTTGGTTCCTGAGAGAGTTTGGGATTTTTCCTGAAATTTTCGGTTCGGCCACTTTCTGTACCAAGGGAACCCCCATTGAATCATGACTCCTTTGCTTTATGGTTCTTTGGTGGGATCTCTGAGCTTTAACTTTTGGGGAACCCACAAAAAGTTAGCCTTTTCCGGAGGGGTCAACAGCAACCAAGTCGAAAGGAAGGGTAAGAAGGAGACTCCAGGTAACTCACTGACCAAAGGATTTCGGACCCACCCCCCCTACTCCAAATACCCCACTTTTTCTAGGGCAGTTTTTTGCACAACCGAGGTTTTCACGGTAAATACCTCCTTTTTTAGTAGAGGGTCGACATGATACCCTAGAAACAAATGGGTATTGGGTGGTTACGGGGCACATGTTGCATCCATCAATGTTCGCCAGATCCGCTGCTGCCTTTGACCCTGCCTTGCACGATAGGCGTGGAGCTCGGCGGAGCTTTTTTCTGTTTTGGTCAGACTCTTGGGCGTCTACGGGCAGGTAGTCCTTGATTCATTTGGGCTTGCACTGTAAAATTCAAGACTCTGTCAATTTTTGGCAAAAGAAGAGAACGCGCACACTCTGCTTTGGATTGGTGGTAAGGGGAATCGAACATGTAAGGCTCGGAACGGCTTTTGACCACCACAGCCTATTGGTTTTGACAACAGCGCTGGGAGGCACCTCTAGGCATAGATCGCTCGGCCCAAGGCCTCAGCCCGGCCTCAGGTTGGTGGATCAGGTCCGGTGCTTCTGTGTGTTTACAGCGAAGATAGAGATATGAGTGGCACGACTTCCCCCTACTCCAAATACCTGCTTTTTTTTGGTATGATGTCGACCACCTACTAAAAAAGGGATCGGTATTTTCCGTGGAAAACCGATCGGTTTTCAACAAAAATACCAACTAGAGAAAGAGGGTATGTGGAGTAGGGGGTTGTTGTTCATCATCAAACGACCACACGATTGCCAAACCAGACTGTGTAATTTCCCCCATGAAGACAGGCATGCTTGGCGCTAAGCCGCTTTCCAGACAGGTGTACCACTGCAAGCTCTGGTGGCTGCCAGCCGCAGCAAACCAAGAGAAGACATGACGAACGCTCCTAGGGCAAAGAAAGGCCTTTGAAAGGAAGCGCAGGCCAAAGTGCCAAGTCAAAACGCGTTAAAATGAGTTAAAATGACCCCCCCGGGCACCTATATGACGAGGCACGCGTGAAAACAGGCTAACACACACTAAAACGGGTTAAGCCGGATTAACATGCCTGAAGCCACATACAGTAACATTGCAATACAATGCATGAACAAGTGCATGAACAGATGCATAGAGCTGAACCTAGCGCGTTTGTTTGAGCTGTATAGCTTGATTGTATGCAATTCAAGGTGTTAGTGGTCCCTAGGGTTGAGTCCATTCTACGTAGTTGTTCATGCTGGGGCTGCCTTGCCAAATGTTTTCTGCAACATTTGGGCCTGAAACAGCCACTGAGAAGAACACGGTCCTCGTGGGGCATGCCGCTGTCGACTCTGCCTAGTTGGCTGTGGCTCAAATCAATGTTCCAAAATAGCAGTTTGGTAAGCGGAACCAATGATGAACATCTGCGTAACCCTAGCTCCTTAATTTCGAGCCGCACTTCGACGTGGGGCTCCGTTTGCACGGAACATTTGAGAGCCACAAGCACCCAGTTTTCTGAGACCCTGCCTCATCTTGGTGGCGAAGCCAGCCATCCGGTCCCTTAGCGTTTTAGATCCTTTAGTGTTTAGTGGGTTTTCCATTTCGCCCACTAAAAGTTAGTCACTTTGAGCGGGCGATCTGAGGACAGCCTAGATTTTCTGGTAGCCCCGAGAAATTCGAGAGGCTTTATCTGAGACCTTGATATGTGAGGTCTTGGGCTAGCGCCCTAACCCGGCCTCAACTTAGAGATGGGTCAACACAACCTGCATTCTAGGCGACTCAGGTGAGCCACACTCAAAACCGATTTTGGTAGATGATCCGGTTAGGGACAATCCCCAATAGCCACAAACACTCTGCGGAGATCCGCCTGCTTGATTCTTGAGGCATGGTTCTGGGTAGACCATATCTTAATACCGGGTTCTGAGCAAGTGACTCATTTCGGGTTATCTCAAAATAGGGGGTACCCCAAAATCGGTGGGGTTTTCTTTTGGTTTTACCGGGTGAGCAAGTGACTCGGGTGGATCCATGTACCTGTAAGGTTCTATCAGGGCGTGGCTGGGAATCCCGAAGGCTCGCTTCGGACCGAACCGATTTTCACCTCCAAATACCCGGCCAAATTTTTTCCGGTTTCGGGTTTCCAGGGGTAAATACCGATCCCTTTTTTAGAGGGTCGACAAATCATGCCCACTAAAAAAGGGCATCGGGTATTTGGAGCAGGGGGTATGGCTTTCGCATGGCTTGCGTGAGCCAAGCCCTTTCGGAATGAATCCCCGTGTCTTTTTCGGTGCCAGCGGTTGTGGCACCGGCAATTTGTCACTGACCCTGAAGAACTTGTTGTATACGACACACACGCACATGCGTAATACATATATATATATATATATACACACGCATAGATATACATACATATACATTAATTGAATATATATATATATATATATATATATATATGCATGTATACACACACATTTGTTTATGTTGATCGTAACAATATGTATAACTATATGTATATATATATATAGCTGGGATCACCAAGAATCGAAGACTTCGCGGATCGTCAGGCCCCAGGGCTGATCTGAGGCCGACCCCGCCGGAAAAAACGTGACGTCCCTCTGCAAAATGCAGAAGGGCCAAGTCGAAATTGACACGGGCGCTCAAGAGGAAAGAGGCCATTCTTAAATGCTACTAGTACATTACCAACGTTTTCAAGGGTATTTTTGGAAAAACCTGGGTTTCTATGGTAGATACCTCCTTTTTTAGTAGAGGGTCGACATCATACCTTAAAAAAGAGGGTATAGGGGTTAGCCGGAAGTGTGGCCCCAAAGTGGAACTTGGGTGGGGTACTTGAACAGTACTAGTTGATCTCCTTACTACAATTACTCACCCAAGCAGACTTGAAACTGATTCATGATCAGAGCATGATGTGCAAGCAGTATTTGGCCCCTCGCCGGGCGAACGACGAACGACTCTCGTTCGCGCGTCTCGTTTCACAGCTGAAGACCCAGCGGTCGGTTTCCTGTTGAGAAGTCGGGCGGTTTATGGCCGGTCTTGGATCCCCAAGGGTGCCCCCGTAACCTCCAAATTCCCGGCCTTTACCTAGTTGGTATTTTTTGGAAAGCCTGGTTTTCCATGGTAAGTACCGATGCCTTTTTCAGTAGAGGGTCGACAAATCATACCCTAAAAAAGGCATCGGGTATTGGGTGGTTAAGGGGTAGTTTTCAAGTACCCCCAACCCCAACCCCCTTTGAATACCTCTTTTCCCCAAGGGGATCCAGTTCTAAAGTTCTCTTGGGGATCCCGTTTTTTCATCTCATGGTCGGGGAAAGTGCGGCAAATCCCCCCGCCTCCAAACACCTGTTTTTTTTTTTTGTTTTGGTATGATTTGTCGACCCTCTAAGAAAGGGGGGTATTTGCCATCGAAACCCATGGTCTGGAGTAAGGGTGTCTGGCAAATCGTCTTGGAGCCATGGTGAAAAGGGCGGTGATCGTCTTTCTTCGCTGAACAGTATCGAGTGGGTTCTGAACACGATCCGGTTACTTTCCAGGTACCCGGACGCCCTTGTGCAACCTAGTTGAGTGTTTGGGCTGCTTCTTTTGAGGGCGAAGGACCTTGAGTTCCTGCTGCGAGAAGTACCCTCTACTCCAACTACCCGGCCGTTTTCCAGGGTATTGGTGGGAAAACCGATGGGTTTTTCAAGGTCAATACCTCCTTTTGAAGTAGAGGGTCAACATCCCCAGAGCTTCCTCGGCCTGAGTAACTTAGGCCTTTTGTCCACGGCCGTAGACACCCCGTAAAAAGGCCGTAGACACCCCGTAAAAAGGCGCCGTATTATTAAACAACAAAAACAACAACCCGTGTTTAAACGGCCTCCGTAACTCAGGCCTTTGGACTCCCTGGGATCATACCCTGAAAAAAGGCATGGGGTTGGAGGTTACGAGGGGCAGGGAGTGTGGGAAACCCACAGATTGCCTAGCCACAGCTCGCTAGTTGGATGGCTTTTCTCGGGGTCAGACCCCATTTTTCTCAGGGCCCCTGGTCGTCTATTTGCACCGGTCGCAAGTAAGTGGAGCCTTGCTTTTTGCCCCCCACTCCAAATACCCGGCCTTTTTTTAGGGTATTATTTGCGGACCCTCTACTAAAAAAGGAGGTATTTACCGTGGAAACCCGGGTTTTCCAAAACATACCCTAGAAAAAGGCCGGGTATTTGGAGTAGGGGGTACTTGTATACATTTTGCAACCATTTGAACCATTTGAAACATGGCTGTTTCCACCAACAGGCGAAACCACCATTGACAAGTTGCAATGTTCAGGTGTATAATGCATCCGGATCCCTGTTTAAGCTTCTCTCAAATCAAAGTCTTGACCAATGAATTAAACCCCTACTCCAAGTACCCACTTTTTCTAGGGTATCTTTTGGAAATCCGATCGGGTTTTCCATGGCAAATACCGATCCCTTTTTTAGTAGAGGGTCCGCAAATCATACCAACTAAAAAAGGGCCTCGGGTATTTGGAGGTTACGGGGGGTAGCCTTTCGAGCACCCCTTTTTTGGCAGGGTTCCCCGTGTCTAAAATAGGCGAAAGACAAACACATTGGTACCAACTTCTTCCATACCTCGCTACTGGACCTAGAATATGGAACCTGAGGTTAGATCCATTAAGGCAAAGGGCCCAAACCAGGACCACCCATTGGTCCAGTTTTCGCGATTCCTTTTGGATTCCTGTTAAACCAGGGACGCACACACACACATATGCAAGATGGGAATGAGTGGAGCTTGGAAGAAATTTAGACGGGAGAATGGGAAAGGTTTGCAACTAAGCAACAAACACTTCACTTGTTGCAGGGGTTCTTTGAAAAGCAAACGGCAGTTAGTCCTGGGGGCATTGTCTTTGATTTTTTAGCGCACTCAGGAAGCAAGTGTTTAATAGTTGTTCACCCAGACTGTTCGAGACCACTTCGCTTGGTCTTCGCCAAACTCTGGGAGTCGGTTGGCCTGCCGCGGCATTTTGGACGTGGCTCGTACGTAGTGAGCGAGTGGAAAAGGCATCCAGTTTGCTCCGTGCTTTGCAGATCAGTTGGGCGCTACTTGGGCTTTAGAGGAAGGGACACCCATTTAGAGATTTGGGCTTTTTGAGACAGACACATGGGTATGGGTGAAAATTTAGTCACCAGAAAGCTGCAGGTTTCAGTCCTTAGCGCCTATCAGGGCAAGCCATTTTGGGTACCCATTTCTGACCCGCAGCCACATTCATGGCGGATTTCACCGATTCGGGGAGAGGAGCGAAATCACATGATCCTCTACTTGACATCCAGTGCTCATAGTCTCATGGTCGAGGAAAGTCGGTGTGGCAAATACCCCTGTAACCTCCAAGTACCCGATGCCCATTGAGTTGGTATGATTTGTCGAGCCTCTACTAAAAAAGGGATCGGTGTTTGAAACCCAATCGGTTTTTCAAAAAAAAATACCAACTAGAACAAGTGGGTACTTGGAGGGGGTGGGTTGTAGCTTAGCTTCCCCCTAACTTTCCAAAAGTGGGCACTCGCGAAACCTGACACCATCCCAGTGCTGCCAGCTATGTGCGGAACCAGCTTTGCCGGCCATATGGCTGGCCAAAACCGTTTTGGGATCCCGTTTTGGGGGAATTAGGTGACTTCAGCACCCATGTTCTCACTTCCTGAGTTCATGAACTTTAAACTTTTTGGGTTTGGACCATTGTAGTGGTAAACAAAAAGTTCGGACTTTTTTGGGGGCCATCCACTCAGCCGCTGAGTTTTAGAAAGCCGTTTTTTTTCGTGGTTGGATTGAATCGGATACTCCCTGGGGGCTCACCGGGCTCTGAATCCCTGGCCCCGATCGATCCGTGGCTCGGGGTGGCGTCTTCGCTTCTCTTGCCGTTCTTTGCCATGCTTCGGACTTCTTCGCCTT